GGTTTTCCCTGAATAAAAAAGTAGATTAAGTAGGAGACAATAAAACCTGCAGTGGCTTGTGAGGTTTTTCAGGGTGTTTTAGATACCATGTTCTGACTTTGTTTGTTAAAGTTGCCTAATGCTGATCCAGAACATGTTTATATACATATATAAGTGTCAAATGAGAATGTTACCATTGTTTACATAGGAATTTGCTATGTTTGGGTTCTAAAAATGATATCAAATGATCCTGAGTTGAGCTCTCAGGTATCCTGACCTCAGTAATCAGTTTGGTATCAGAAGCCTCCTGATTCTTTAACATCTAAAATGTCTTGTTAAAAATTATTTAGCTCCTAATTGCATGTAAAATAGAACTTGAGATTGCATGTCAAGATTCAAATTAAAGTCTTTACCAGTCACTCACAGAGATCCTTCTTTTCTTTTAAGCATGAATCTGAGATTCTTCCATTCCCTAATATAGAGAAGAATTTTGCTCTTCCTGATGAAATGATTCAAGAAGTGAGAGAAGGTGAGATGTGATTGCAGTCTCTTGTTCTTGGTTGCTTTAATCTCATCTCAGAATCTTTAACAAAATTCCCCCCAAAAAACATGTATTGTCAAATCTAATAGAAATGTGCAGGAGTTTGACAGAAATCTCAGATTGAGCAGTGAGAGCTGGATTTTGAAATTTAGCTGATGTGTGCTATCCAAAGAAGAAACTAGAAAATTTGAGCACCTGCCAAGGACTCCTTGGGATATTTTAAACTTCAGTGGAATGTTTCTGAATTACTAGGTACACTAAAAATTCAGTGTAAAATCTTAGCACAAATAAGACATTGCAATATGTTTTGCTTGTTTAGCATTTCACTTTCTCATGTTAATAATAATTTCTTGGCACTGAATTAATGCTGAACGTTGCATGGAATATTTGCAAACATGCAACTATGCAGAGGCTACTAATCCAGAAAAAGTCCATGTGGTCTAAAACCATCTAACCATTGCCAACAATGCTTTCTGTAGGAAAAGTAATGATGGAAGAAGAAGTGAAAGAGGAAGTTTTAAAAGAAGAGATGGAAACGCATGCAGGTCCTGAAGAAGGTAATTTTGTAACTCTCTACTGTGTAATACGAGATTAAAAACCAACTGTAATTGAGAAATTAATGTTAAAATGTAAATCCAAATGCAGTGTACTTTGTGATTTGTACTCAGACTTAGCCTGTGCTCATGCTAAGAACTTGACTAACTTAAGAGTGCACAGAGTAAGCAGCTGCTTATTGAAAAGACTTCTTCTTTGCTCCTAATGCATCTGTACAAAGTTGTATAGCTTTGGAGATTTTTGGCTTTAATATGTACTTGACAAACCCCTGGGAGTCTGAAGGAATCTGAGGATCTCTGGAAGAAAGCTGAGTGATTTTTTTGAACTTGAATGCTCTGTGTTGGGAACTTTGTAGTCATGGGGGAAATAGGACCTATAAATCGAAAGAGATTGTAAAATTGCGTGCTGAAATGGGAAGGTGGGCAGAGTGCTTATTTTATTTTATTCTCATTATCTTGCTGCTTTTAAATAAAAGGCTTGTTTTCCTAACACTTTGCTGTAGAACAAGTCAAATGTGAACAATAGAGATCCTGCTATTTATCTTAACAGACAAAGCCAACTGCTATCTATATAATTTCATCATCTTTATATCACTGAATAAGTGGTGTTTAAAGACTGTAATAAAAGATCTAAAATGTATTTTAAAATATATTAAAATTTTGGGTGTTCAGTTTTAAAATTATCTATGGTACCAAATGTAATGACTCCTGTTGATTATAAATTCCATAGATTGGTCCTCTGTTTCTGTAAGTGTTCCTTTAATTATTTTAATATTAAGTGCTGTTTAATTCCACTTAATGAGTTTGATTTTTAGCCTGTCAAACTATATGCCTGTCTTTAAAGCAAATAATAAAAGCAAGATGTGCCTTTCTCAGAGATTTTTCCTTAAGACTTAAATGATGGACAAGTATGCTGAGAGTCAATTGTTTTGAGAAGTTTTATGGAATATAAAGAAGTTTGATAACACTCTTGTTTGCCTTTGTGTATGACTCTGATCTGGAATCATTACTTTGGTCCTGTTTCAGTTTTTGCACCCTCTGGAAGTTTAGGAAAAACAACAGAAAAGCCAAGCAGCAAAGAGAAAGAGAAAACTTCATCAGATCCTGGATCCAAAGAAGGGTCTGATAAGAGGAAGCGCAACAGAGTCACCGAGAAGGTTCTGAATGCCAACAGCAACCCCTCGAGTCCCAGCGCTGCCAAACGACGCAGGACGTAGAGCTGAGGAGCAGTGACAAACCCTGGCATGGGAGCAGGAAAAACAAGGAGCAGCACACAAACTTTGGGAGGAAGTAGAAGATACCTGAGCCAGTATTTGAGGAATCTGCGCGTTGGCTCTGTCTCTCCTGGGGGTTCTGGGCAGCAGCGAGGAGCTGCCACCCCCGGGGTGTGGGGACAAAGCTGGCAGAGGGGAGGGTGGGTGTGACAGTGGGTGACAGTGCCAGGGCTGCATTTCAAACCAGCAACACACTCTGTGTCAGCACAGCTCGTGGGAAGAGTGCCCCATGGGGCACATGGGCCATCAAGAGCAGAGGTGATTTCTGTAAATGTGGGATAGCTTTTTCTGCCATTGCTGTCTCTGACTTTACAGACCACCTGTGGGTAATGTTTGGCCATTTCCCTTCCATTTGTATCAAATGCCTCAATTTGTTGGTTCAGTAAAACTAAAATTATTTTAAATGCAGATGACCACTGCATTTGAAGCATTCTGTTGCTCTCATTGCTGGAGGAACCTCATTTCACCCTTTTTGATGTAAAATTTTTCAACCATAAGTAAAGTGAAAATTATAATGCCTCTAGCCCAAATACTTAATAAGTGTCCTAAATAAGATATCTGGTGATGACACATGGTTTTATAAGGGATCAGCTGAGCTGTGCCTGAATGTGGAGGTGTTGCTTCATCCATTTGTAATACAGTAGCGTATGACAGTGGGGTTTGTACTTAATTATTTATTTTTTTAAAGTAGTTTTAGTAGATGTGAATGGAATTGGTTTTCCAAAATGTTTGTTTTGTTCTACAACCGAAGAATCTTGCTGACATTGTAATGCTTATCTTTTATATGCTAGAACATTGAAATTTGATGAAGTTACTATTTTTGTGTTGTCAAAAGATGGATTGCAGTCAACACACACCTGTTAAATGGTGAATGAAGCAGGCTGAAATGGTACTGAATTTGTTTCATTATATTAACTATCAGTTAATAAAAAGAAGAATTACTTCTTGATCTCTCAGTATTGCCTTCAAGGTGAGGCACTAGGAGTCTTCTCATTTTTTGGTTGTATTCTAGGTACATAGCCAAGTTCTTGTCTGCCTAATTTGCTTCTCTTGTTTTATACAAAGAATAAATTTGACTTGTTTTTATTTTACTAAATGGCAGTTGTTGTGTGACTTGATTAAAATCTGGCCCAACTTATTTTAGAAGTAATTTAGCATTAAGCGTTGATTACTGTGTCATGATCTACATAGATTTTGGCCATAAAGTGCAGATTTTGGAACTCAAGTCTCATGTCCCTGTGGGCAAATCCTTCTCATCCATGGGATTCTAATCAAAAAGTTTTGCTCTACCAATGAAGTGTTTATACAGCTTGAAGTAGAAATAGTCGACAATGGTGTGTACGGGTGCAACCACCCAGCACCAACCTCATAGCATGGAAAGCCCACTTGGGGATTTCACAGTCAATGCAGCAATGCCGACTTTTTACGAATTGTTTGGATATGAAGCCGAGTATCAGCAAATGTAAACACTTTGCTTGTTGGCCCCTTTGCTTTCAGAGTGCTGGCTCGTTGGGAATGCTGTTCTTTGATCCCTGTTCCTGTACACGGCCGGCAATGCCGTTCTCTGTTCCCTGTTCCTGTCCGTTCTCTGATCCCTATTCCTGTACAAGGCCGGCAATGCCGTTCTCTGATCCCTGTTCCTGTGCAAGGCCGGCAATGCCGCTCTCTGATCCCTGTTCCTGTGCAAGGCCGGCAATGCCGTTCTCTGATCCCTGTTCCTGTACAAGGCTGGGAATGCCGTTCTCTGATCCCTGTTCCTGTGCAAGGCCGGCAATGCCGCTCTCTGATCCCTGTTCCTGTGCAAGGCCGGCAATGCCGTTCTCTGATCCCTGTTCCTGTACAAGGCCGGCAATGCCGTTCTCTGATCCCTGTTCCTGTGCAAGGCCGGCAATGCCGCTCTCTGATCCCTGTTCCTGTGCAAGGCTGGGAATGCCGTTCTCTGATCCCTGTTCCTGTGCAAGGCCGGCAATGCCGTTCTCTGATCCCTGTTCCTGTACAAGGCTGGGAATGCCGTTCTCTGATCCCTGTTCCTGTACAAGGCCGGCAATGCCGTTCTCTGATCCCTGTTCCTGTACAAGGCTGGGAATGCCGTTCTCTGATCCCTGTTCCTGTGCAAGGCCGGCAATGCCGCTCTCTGATCCCTGTTCCTGTGCAAGGCTGGGAATGCCGTTCTCTGATCCCTGTTCCTGTGCAAGGCCGGCAATGCCGTTCTCTGATCCCTGTTCCTGTACAAGGCTGGGAATGCCGTTCTCTGATCCCTGTTCCTGTACAAGGCCGGCAATGCCGTTCTCTGATCCCTGTTCCTGTACAAGGCTGGGAATGCCGTTCTCTGATCCCTGTTCCTGTGCAAGGCCGGCAATGCCGCTCTCTGATCCCTGTTCCTGTGCAAGGCTGGGAATGCCGTTCTCTGATCCCTGTTCCTGTGCAAGGCCGGCAATGCCGTTCTCTGATCCCTGTTCTGTACAAGGCCGGCAATGCCGTTCTCTGATCCCCGTCCCGAGTCCCGCTCCCTCCGCTCCGCCCGGGGCCCGCGGGCGGTGCCGGATCCCCCGGGCGCGGTGCGGGCGGGCGCAGAGCCCGCGCGGGCGGCGGCCAATGGGGCGCGGCGGCGCAGAAGGGGGCGGGGCGTGCCCGCGCTTCCGTCCCCCCGTTCCCCCCCACACGTGCCTGGGCTTTGTGCGCGCGGGCGGGCGGTCCCGCCGCTACATCCCGGTCCCTTTCGCTTTCCCTTTCTCTTCGCCTTCCCATGGCGGCCTGGTTCGCGCTCAGGGCGGAGGAGGACGAGGCGGAGGACGAGGCGAACCTCTGGAAGTACGACTCCACCTGGGAGGGGGAGGAGGAGGATGAGGAGGACGGCGAGGAGGAGGATGGCGGCGGAGGCGAGGCGGAGGGAGCGGCGGCGGAGGAGCCGGAGGATGCGGGGGAGCCTGCGGGGCAGGGCCGGGCGTGCGGCAGGTGGCACGGCCAGGTGCGTGTGGGGACAGGGGACAGGGGACGGAGCGGAGCCTGCGGGGCACGGCCAGGTGCGTGTGGGTACACGGGGACAGAGCGGAGCCTGCGGGGCGGCACGGCCTGAGGGGAGCCCTGCCAGCCCCTTGCCGGCCCTTCCTTGCCCGTTCCCGGGCACAGCCGCTGCTCGCTGCCCGCTCGGTGCCAGGCGAGGCTCCGCGGCCCTCGGGGGATCAGCGGCACGGAATTTGTCCTCGTCTTGGGGAAGCAAACCCCCCTAGAGGAGCAGGGTTTACGGGGGTGCTGTCACTTCATGTCTCCTTAAGGTCCATTACATTGCCACGAGCTGGGCGATGTAATTTTAATTTGTTTTTCCCCACCATTCCCTACGATGTGGGTGCTTTATCCCATAAGCACAGGTGGTGTGTGGCACCTGCCTGTTGGCCACTGCTGATGGCTGCTGGGTTTGATGTTATGGCATTGTGATGTTCTTTTAAGCTTTTGGTTGGTATCCTCAGCTTTGTGTGGTGGCTCTGTCATGCCATCAATAAAAATCCATTACATAACATCTGCTCAATTTTAAAAATGAGCTGTAACTCTTTATTTCTCGTAGACGTGTTGTATTTCTTAGGGAACGGGTGTAGAGCAACTCTGAAAACCAAAAAACTCGAGGTACGTGTGCAGTTTTGAGCAAGCTGCAAAACACAAGCACATGTGTCTGGTGCCTTAAAATAATGTTTATTTGAAATAAAATGAATTTGTTAGTCTTATCTGAGGTTTCTGTTAGTTTCAGTGGATTTCAGTTTGACATTGGGGGTCAGTAATTTCTTCTCCAGCATTGCTGTGGTAATTAGAGCTTTATACTTTTCAGTACTTCCCAGGAAAAACGCTACAGTCCTTTAACTCCTCCCCTTTCTGGGAAAGAGAAACCACTGCTTCACTTGGAGTTTCATTTCTACAGCTCGTCCTTATCTTTAGAATATGAATAGGCAGATAAAGCTTTCTAATGAATATACTTTTAAAGGAGCTTGATATTAAACTTCCTTTTTTTTTTTCCTTAATAAGCATTTAAAATAGAAATAACCATTTTTGAAGGAACAGGAAATTATCTGTGCACATAGATCTGGGAAAGGCCAAAGGTATTTTGGGTGGAATAGCTGTAATTCTGAAGGGAGGAGGCAGAGATTTCCTTTGAAGTTTTTTGCACTGTTGGAGTGCACTCTTATCAACTTTTCTTTTGTATGTGGCTGGACTTCACAAGTTTTAATAACTTCAGAACATTCCCATTGTTCTGTTTGAATGTGTTTGTTCTTCAGGTTCCTTGTTTTCCTTAGAGCAACTCTGGATGGTGACAACTGTAAAAGCAAGGACCATTTTTTCACTCCAGTGAGTGGACTTTTCCAGCTTTGCCTTACAAAGCAGGATGTTTTTGTCTCCGAGACAGCCCTGAAATATAATTCTGCATTTTCAAATAGGAGCTCTTCCTTCAGTGATGAATGTGTAATCACCTCTCTCTGGCAGTGTCCAAAAAATTGTGAGGGCACTGAGAATAAATGCACAAAGAAGCAGTAAATCTTCTGCTAACCATTTATGCCTTTGCAGCCTGTCCAAGGCATGGATCAATTTCCCAAACTTGTTCCTTACTTCTGCTTATTTTACACTAATTCTCATTCTTCTCCCCTCAGCTTGGATGGTTTTCTTTATGGCTGGAGCAGATAAAGTCTTTCTTTGGTATTGAGGTTAGAGTTATTTATTTTTATTTTCGCTATGCGCTTTCAAAACAAAGTTCTGCTTCTGTCTTTGCATTTCACTTGTGTCTCTGTTAGTGTTCACAGCCTGAAGTTCCTGCAGGTGTGTCTTTCCAGCTCTTTTGCATTTCAGTGCCTTAAGCTTCTATGGGTGAGCTTTGAAAACTTTGGGGGTTGTGTTCATTTTAAGAAGTTCCCTCTGAGACTGCTGTAACACCTGGAGTTCATGATCAGCTGTTTTAATAGCAAACCCATGGGCCTGCCTTCTCCTAAATCTGCATCAACAAGAGGTTCCAATCACTCTTCTGGACTCTTATCTTTCATGTTCCTGTGCCTTGTTCACAATCCACATCCCCTTTGGTTCCAGCAGCTTTCCAGCTGGTTTCTCAGCCAGAACCTCTTTCTGTCACTCTCTCCTGGTTATGTTCTCTGCTTCCCTTTGCCTTTCCCACAGCAATGCATGTTGTGCCTGGTGTGATGCAGGTTTGGAGTGTGAAACCCACTCAGTTTTGCTGTGAGACAAAAAGGTGTTGGATTTCTACAGGAAGGTTTCAGCCTTTGTGTTTCTTACCTGGAAAGAAAGGCCTTAAGTTTGGTAGAGACCCAGGAACAGCACCTGCTTGGAGGAGCAAAGCTGAGTTTTGCTGTCTTTGCTTCCCCATCTTGTTCTCTGGATTGCTGTGCTCCAGGTTTTCTTTTCCCTGGGTCTGGCTTCCTTCTGGACAAGCCTTCTGCAGCCTCTTCCACCATGGCATTGCACCTGTCTCTGTGCCTTCAATGACTCTTCAGCAAACCCCTTCTCTTTCTGAGTGGGAGCAGTCTGCTGCTCTCCTGTCCCACCTGGCTGTGTTCAAGGATGTTACTTTAGAACCTTAAATGTAAAGAATTTCTGGGATTATTTGGTAATTGGGAACAAAATTGTCATTAATGCCACATAACTGTCATCAGGATAACTGAATGGGTGACTTCCTTACAGCAATGTCTTACAAATGTAGACTAATTCCTGCCCTAATAATTAATGAACTATAGTGATCAGTGTTAGAAAATGATTTCATTTTTCTCTTGTGCATATGATGTTAAGAAATATCAAGTGAGGTTATGAAGTAACTTGGGGGAGGTTTTGCTGCTTCTTTCTTCTAAATTTCATTTAATGCTTGTTTTGCAAGTTTCTGCACATCTTACACCCATTTCCCAACTTCCCTGTTCTCTCTGTGAGCTGGCATTGAACCCCCTGGCTGTGCTGTGCTTTGGGTGCCTTCTGTTCATGAGCAGTCTTGTTCCTTTTGGTGCTTCTCAATTCACAGAACACTGTAATAAAATCCTGTCATGGTTTGGGATAAGATGGTTCAGCGCTCAGCAAGATTGCACCTGTCTGTGTTGCTTGTGAAATGTAACAAAATCCCTTATCACTGAGGTCATCAAATGTATGAATAAATAAATATGTATGTATTGCAGCTAAAATGCACTTTAAACTAAGGCATACTTGGAACTTCTATTTCCATGAAGTAGTTCAGAGGGGGAAATGAAGCTGTTCTTTGTGAGTTCTGTCTAAATGTGACACTTGGAATGAATCTAGCACATCTGTGATGAGAACCTGGTGCCTGTTCATGTGCCTGGCACCACAGGTTTTTCTCTGTAGCAATTTGAATTATGCATAAAATACAGTGAATTCAGCTGTAACTAGGTAAATCTGTCACTTGGCAACTAATAAGGATCCTGTGAGTCACTGCTGTGGGTATTCTCATTTTGTATCTATTTTTTTATTTTCTTAGTCAAGTTTGGTTTCAAAATGTTCCAACTAAATGTTTTCTATTTGCAGGATCAAAGCTCAAATTCCTCACTGCTGTCTTGGAGGAGTTTTCAGGTAGGCTTGACATAAAATTTGGTTACATGGAAAGATGAGTAATATTGAAGGTTATGATTGGAAGAGAAGTCCAATAAAATAAATATTTAATGTGACCATGTGGCTCTGGTGCTATCCACTGTCTAAATCAGCAAGGCTGATCTTGAGCGTAAAGCAAAGATGAAGAAAACTTTTATTTCAGCAAGGTCTGCAGGAAATGAGAATCTTGAATTCAAGGTATATTTCTGCATCCTAAATTCTGCAATTTTAAGGTCTAGCCTCTCTTCACTAGGGTTTATAGCAGCTCAGAGACATGTCTTGTTTTGAAACCTTTGAGTTAAGGAAAAACAATCCCATTTTCATATTTGGGATTTCCAGCTTGTTCTGATCTTTTCCATTGGCAAACCCAAGTGGGATGAAAGGTATACACCTTGATTAATAAGATGAGAAGAAAAAAAAAAGTATTTTGGTGACAGGAGATGGTGTTATCTTCTCTTAGTTTAAATTTGTCTTCAGGAATGCAGAGACATGGCTACAGCACCAGTCTGGTTGGTTTTGGGGGTGCTGGGAGTGCAGAGGACATGCAGGGGAACCTGTATGGGGTGCTGAATTCAGTCAGGGCATTATATAATGTTATTTTATTTTGCAGAAGGTGATTTTGTGATTTTATTCTGAGTCTCTGCTCTGTCTCTTCTCCGCAGTGCAGCGGGAGGCGCAACTGGACCGCGGCGCGAGACCTGCAGAGATACAGAAACCATTACCCAGTAGGTGCCCCTGGGGCTGCTCCTCACCTCTCCTGCTGCAGGAGCTCTTCCTGCATCTGGGAGCTCCTTTTTGCCTTTGCTTTACAGGCTCAGCACCTTCCAAGGATTCATTTGTGAGGGGGAAGGGATGATGTGCATGTGGGTGCATCAGAAGCAAGCTGCTACTTGCCAAAGCACATTTGGAGGATTTAGCTTGAAATGTGTAGGGAATGTGAGGGAAAGCAAAGGGAAGTATTGCCTTTTAAAGGGTTGCTGTTTGTTCATTTCTTGTTCTCATCTCCAGGATTTGAAAGAACCAGAGAATGAGGAGGATGAAGAAATGTGGAACTTAAGCTTTTACAAAAATGAGATTGCTTTTATGCCCCACGGTGAGTGCCTTGTGTGGTGGCTGCTGATGCCATCTACTGCAGCTGGGTGATGAGAGAGTAGTTTCATCCATGTGAGACAATAACAAACCAAACCAAGCAACCAACCAAAACCACCACCCAAACCAATAAAAACCCATCAAGAACTTCAATTATTAAATATTCCTGCTGTATTATCCTTAGTATTCTGGTGGTAGGAAACAAAGGTATTTTTCTGGCTGGTTGTCTTGTTGGAGGAGCTAATGCTTATCTGTAAATATCTGAGTTAGGATAGTGAGCTGTGTGGAGTGACTGACTGGCTAACTTTATTTTGGTATCACTTCTTGCCTGACCTTTTCCTTTTCCTTGCAGGTGTGCATATTGAAACTCTGCTCTCATCTTGGGGGGACAAGTATGAAACACTGGAAGAAAACCATTCCTACATACAGTGGTAAATTGTTTGCACGAACACAGTGCCTCTCTAGTTGTGCCTTTTGTAAGTGTCAGGTGGATCCGTGTTACTGATTTCAGCTTCACACATGGCCCAAAATTGCTTCAGTTAATTGAGATGCACTCCTGAGGAAGGAGAGCACTAGAACTCCTGAAAGCACAGGTTTCTAGTGCAGCTGTGGCAATAGATTCCAGTCCTTTGTGGTCTTGTGGCACAAAGTTAAGGCAAGGAGAGAGATCCACATAGGCAAAGTTTTTTGTTATTAGTGTAGACAATACTTTTATGGGAGGAGTTTACTAGAACAAAACTTCTGTGTCCCTAAGGATGGGAGTTCTCCAAGAGCTGCCTGTGATACCACAAATTTTGGAATCTGTTTTGGTTTTAACACGTTGGGTACCCTGGGTTGGATGTCATCTTTGCTCATCTGACCTGAAAATTCCATTCTCTTCAGGCTGTTCCCTTTACGTGAGCATGGGATGAACTGGCGTGCCAGGCCACTCACCTGTCAAGAAATCCAGGTATTTATTTTAAGCATTTGTCTCTTTCTTCTTTGAGATCTGAAGGGTGTTAAGATCTCCCCTAAATACCTTGTATTTGAAGTCTAGTGTTTTTTTCTGTTGTTTCCTTGGGTTTTTAGTGTGCACAGAGCTCACAGTGAAGCATTTGGCTGTCTTGTGTCAGCAGTGAAATGCTAATGATACAATCAACCCTTGTTTAGAATTCAGGTGCCCTTAATCTGGTGCAGGTAATTAGGGAGTTGCATTTTTTTTTCCTAATTGCTGTGTCCTGTTTTCAGGCCTTCAGGAAGTCCAAGGAAGTCATGGACAGGTTTTTACGTGCTTACAAGCTCATGCTGGGATTTTATGGAATCAACCTGGTCAATGAAGAAACTGGAGAACTTGAGAGAGCAGAGAATTGGCGTGAACGATTTGAAAACTTGAACAGGTGATTGTGTTGATGCTGTTGAGCATTTACTGCAGCCAGGCACTTCTTTGAAGGGGAAAACAAAGTCTAAGCCTAGGAAACCCCCAGCCATAGAGGAATGGAGACTTTTGTTGATAAATGTTATCTAGTGAAAGTATTTTTAACTTGTATTCTCTTAAGCTACAAAATAGAAGTCTTTCCATATGGTTCCCTGGTTGTTTATGAAGCACCCTTAATGTGTGTAAAATGCTGTGAGTCCTTGTGTGAAAAGTGCTCTGCAAATGGGATGGTTTTATATTATTGCAGGTTTTGTGGAGTAAGTAACAACCCTTCCTGGTGATACTAACCTCTTGAAAGGAGTGAGCATAATCACAAAAGAAAAAACAACTTGAAGTCTGTGAAGTATTAAAATAAAAAAGGAAAAACCAGCTGTGTCTAGCTTAAGTCCTGAGGTTTTGGCAGCATCCTTTCATGCCTGTATTCTCCACACTGCAGGCTCTCCGTCAGGGGCAGGACTTGTGTACCTGCTCCAACATGGTGGTTCTTACCTACTGGTGGCTGATTCAGAAAGCCAGAACCTTTCCAAGCAGCTGATGATGAATCCTGTCAGCCCAGCGAGGGTTAGGAAGGAGCTGCTGAAGGCAAACAGCAGCAGTGGGTGCCTTAAAAGTAAGCCCATCTGTGCTCCCATTTGCATTGTCAAACAGTCTTTAATGGCTCACAGTCAGTAAAGGATAAAACATTTTCCAGATGTCCCAGAGGTTCACGGTGACTTGTAAGGCTTTCCCTTGATAGCTTTGCTTATCTGTTTTCTCCAGGTTCAGCCACAACAATTTGAGGATTACTCGCATCCTGAAGTGCCTGGGGGAGATGGGATATGAAGACTATCAAGTGCACTTGGTGAAGTTTTTCCTCACAGAAACTCTTGTTGAGGAGACATTACCAAATGTCAAGAGAAGTGCCTTGGATTACTTCCTGTTCACTGTCAGGAGCAAAGAAAAGAGGAGGGAACTCATCCACTACGCTTGGCAACACTTCAAACCTCAGAGCAGCTTCGTGTGGGGGCCTCGTGACAAACTCCAAAAGTACAGACCCCGCTCTGCCAGGGCACAGCTGCACCAAAGGCCTGAGGATAAACAGGACGCTCAGTGTCAGAAATGTGATCCTGTGGAGAAGGATCAGAACCAGTGCTCAGAGGTGGAACAGAAAGCTGCAGATGCTGCGGAGTTGCAGCCTGAAATGAGTGATGAACATGTAAAGGAGAAGATAAGCAAATGTGTTCTGAAGGCAGGAAATGATGAAGGGGAGAAAGAAGCTTCATTTGGCCAGCTGGAGGAAGAGGATTTAAAAAATGAAGCTGAGGAAGGGCAGGGTACTGCAGAGAATGATTGCACAAAGGAGAGCAAGAAGAGAAAACTGAATGCAGGTTTGGCAGGTGCTAAAGGCGACGGATCATTGAAAAACTCTGCTGATATTGAAAACATTTCCCATAATCTGGGAGAGTGTGCAATTGATGCAGAGATCCCCTGCTCAGAGCCAGGCTCCCAGGCAGAGGAGGCTCAGGAGGCTCTGAAGGAAGATGATTCAAGCACCAAAGAGCCGGCGGCGCCGGAGGCCGCAGACGCGGCTGTGAAACGCAGGAAGGTTGATAAAAAAACATCCAGAGGCAAACAAGTGAGCTTGGCCATAAACCTGAGCATGGGGCCCTCAGCCTCTGCTGCCAAGGCAAATCCATCTGCTGCTAATGGTGAGGCTGGAAAAGGAGGTGTCAGTGAGGAAAATGCAGCTGTGGAAGTGCCAAGTGAGAAGGAGGGTGGTGGTGATGCAGATGGTGGGGCTGTGAGAGCCCCAGCTGCTTCCAGGCCCCCCAGGACTGGCTGCACTGCTCCAGTCAAGGATGGCTGCAAGTCCAGTGGAGAGCAAAACTCAGCAGGGGGTGATCAGCACCGCTGCAACAGCAAACTCATGGGGGGTAAAAGTGAACTAGATGGAGTAGGACAGCAGGAAAAGGTGGAAAAGGCAGGTGAAAAAGGGCAAGCAGAAGACGCAGACAAGAAGCAAGCTCCAGAGAGTCATGAGCAGAGCATAACACCCACTTGTCCTGAAGAAAACAGTGCTAAGGTCCCACCAGAGAAAGGTGAAGGCTCTGAGAATGGAGCAGAGCCTGGTGGAGAGCAGGGAGCAGCAGAGTGAGAGCAGCACAGCGAGCACCTGAGCCAGCAGAGATGGCACTGCCCTGTACTGGGAGCCAGCTTTGGTGGCTTGGAGAACTGAATAAACGTCCTTTGGGATGATCCAGCTGGCCCCTGTCTCACTTTCACTCTTCCATGATTTTTCATCATCTGTAGTAAACTCACTGAGATCCAGCTCTTGGTTACCCTAAAGAGGAAAACTTTATTTACTCATCTTCATGGACAGGCTGGGTTTTATCTGATGTTCAGGGCTATCTTGGAGCAACGGGGATTTTTGCACTTTGCTTTGATTCTGGTTATGTCCCTACTGAAAGAGAAGAGGAAAACTGATCTGTCTCCTTGTTTGAATTACCTAAGTATTTATTAAAGACATGATTTTTAATGTAAAGACAGCATGACCTAATTTGCCAGGCCTTTCTATTGCTGTGTGACTTCTATTTGTTACTGTGAAAGGCTGTACCTTCCCAGGAGTTTTTTCCTGGCAGAATTGCTGTTTCTCTAAAAGAGATGAGTATATGGATTTCACATGATGTCAATGTAGTTGCCTCTCTTCCTATAAGGAAAGTAGGTTTGGCTTTAGACTGGGATAGATCTTTAGCCAAAATGTGTCTCTGACCAGTGTGAACCTTTGTGTAGAGATTCTGTTCTCTCGAGATGCAAAGTGCTGAGGAATTCTCTTTATCCCCACAGAGGTTGCTTTGTAGTTCTTGTTGGAGTTAAGACTACAAATTGCCTGCTGCTTTCTAAGAGAAAAAGCTCCAGGTTTTGCATAAAACTGTTTAGAGCTGCTCTTCCTTCCCTGTGTGTTCCAACCACGTTATAGTCTTCCACAGATTTTTTTGTCCATGACTGTTTCAGAGGCTCTCATTTCTCAGTTGCCAAAGCAGCACAGATATTTCCCAGTGCATTTGTTTCAGCCTTAGCTGGTAATTTGCAGTGGCCTGGGGGGGCTCTTTCCTGCAGCCCATGGCTGAGGTTTGATGTGTCAGATCCAGCCTGTTTCCTACTTAGGGCAGGATTGCTTTGCCTTTAATGTCAGACAGCCAGGGCATGTTCCAGTGCAGCATGTCTGGAAACCACTGGGCTTTGTGGGGCAGTTAATTGAAACGTTAATTGGAGAGGCTATGCTTGTCTGGTTCATTTATTTCCAGCCCTCAAGAATTTACTTTCAGACCTTGCCAGCTCTTTGCCTGCCTCTGTTCCTGACCTCCCTGTCAGCTGTTCTGCCACACTGCACAATCCACCAGGTCTGAAGGAGCATTAAAACAGTTTAGCACCTTCACTCCTAAAAATTTACAACAGAGGATCTGTTTCATGAAGCAGAGGGAATTGTTTCCAACAGCCTGAAGGTCTGGACTTGCTGTTTGCTCAGGTTGTTTGGGTTGGTTTTGAGGTTGTTTGGTGCTGTTTGGTTTGTGTAGGAGATGGCCAGGGAGCAGAAGCAGCAGCTTGTGCAATGTCAATGTTTTTCCTCTCTGCTATAGCTCTTAAGAAGCTTTATCTTTCAAGGAATTTGAGGGGTGATTTGCCTTCCCAGCCTGTAGGTTCTGATCCAGCATGCCACATGTGTGTGGGAATAAAAGTCTGCAATCTGATGTTCATGGTCACACATGTACTGAAAAAAGGCTTTAATATTTTTAAAATACTTCTTTCTTCTTAAGAGCAGATGGAGGTAAATAGCCAATAAGAATACACTTAACTACAGATGGAAATACTTGAAGATGTTGAGTGAAAATTCTTTCCTAACAGATTCCTAAGAATTGTTAATTGTGGCTTTTGTACAGATTTATAGTAATTTTCTTATTTAATGAAATTTTCATTGTGAATATGTGCTCAGTTGGGGCATAGATCCTATATCTTGTTATGGTTTTGTGTTTAATGGGATTTCACTCTGATCCCCAGCCTGGAGTGAGTGCTCAGACCAAGCCCTTCCCTCTCCTGCCAGGTTCACTTTTGGCTGTAGGTGTGTGTGGTGAGTTCACAAGGTGTTTGCCAGCACTCAGAGCTGTATCATGGAGTCTGTGATGTTAATTCCCCTATTAAAGCATGACTTGAAAGCATACCAGTTTCCTTTTATATTTTTTCATCTTTGAGGGTGGGATATGACCTTGTATTTACCCACCCCTTGGAGCCATGAGCTGTTGCTTGGTTCCCCCCAACAAGAGGGTGCTCTGCTGGGCTCAGCATGGCACACAGTTGCTGTTTCTTCCCTGTGGAGGTCATGCCCAGTCTTCCTCCACCTCTAAAACGTGTCCAGTGAATATTTCAGAGGAAAACACCCCCCCATGCTGTTTGTTTAATGATGTGCTTGGAAATCATAGAATTGCACAATGCTTTGGGTTGGAAAGGACCTCAGAGTTTATCTTGGTCCAGCCTCCGCCTTCCACTGGACCCCATCCAGCCTGGCTTTGAACCCTTCCAGGGGTGGGGTATCTGCTTGTTTCAGAATGTTTTGTGTTGCTTCTGCAGCTCTTCTCCCACAGGTGCTGTGGTGCTCTGCAGAGCAAACCCAGACTCTGCTTGGAGCATCCCCTGGGGCTCCTGCCCAGCCTGGCTGTGGGAGATTCAGTTCAGGGGTTTTTATTCCCTTCAGGACACAAGAACAGGGGTGTCTTTGTGGTAATTAATTAAAAATTTCCTCTTTAAGTCATTGTGTCCCCTCAACTGTGCTCCCTGTGGGTGTGGGATGGAGGGTTATCAGAAATCCTTTTGGTCTGTGGGATGGTGTTGAAGGTGAGCACCCCCAGGGCCCTTCCTGTGCTAGTCCTGGGCAGGCCTCATCTGCTGCAGCCCCCCAGCCCTGGCTTGCTCTGGACAAGGTGTGGCTGAGGAATTTGGGTCTCCTTTGCCTTCCCTCCTGCCCCAGCTGGCCTCAGTGTGGAGGAGGAGGTACAAGCTGTGCAAAGCTGCTCTCCCTCTTTGTGGTTTGGGCTGTCCAATAAAGGATTCCAGTTACTCTGAAGCCATCAGAAGGCTCAGAGACACAGATTGCCTTTCTGTCCCCAACTACTCCACAGAATCTTGTGGGAACTTGGTAAATCTGAGTCCTTTATCCCTCTGCCAAAGCTCTAGAAATCCTGGCTGCTGGGGAGCTGGTCACACAAACACTGTGCTCCTACAAGCCTCCTGTTGCACAGATGCCAAGTTGCAATCAGGTATTTCAGTTCCTCAGCTTTCACTTTCTACATCTCCTCTTGTGTTCCTAATCTGATGAGCTGTGTCATTGCAGCCCTGAGGAGTCTGGCCACCATTCCTCTCCACATCCAAGCCCTGCTTTGGATGAAATTGCCTTTAATCAATAAAGGGAATTGTGAAGCTCATTGTAGGAGATGCATCTTCATTAATCTCTTGCCATTTGGGGTCACCAGGCAGGGAACTGTCCTCCTTCCTTCCTCACAGCATTTCAGATATTTCTTTGTGCCTTTGAGAATGTTCCTCCTTTTCCTTTCCTCCTTGTATCTGTCTGTGGTTGTGTTTTCTGACCAGCATTCATCGCTTCTCAAGGAATCAGTGCTCTTCAGATCACCCTAAAAAAATAACCCCTGAAGCCAGATGTGAACAACCTCAGAGCTAACAAAGCACCTCACTAAGCAGTAAGTGCATTTCTCTGTGGTGATCTTGCCCTGTCACTGGTTTCTTAATGTCCCTGCTGGAGTTAGGTGAAAAATGGAAAATTCACTGAAAAACTCCCTGTGTTCCTTTTTACCTGTCCAGCACAGAGGTGGTGATGGGCTTTGGGAAATATCCTGGGTGAGAGCAAAGGAGCAGCTTTGTGTTTGCAGCTGGAGTATCCCAGCTGTGCTGCGGTGTCCCTTCTCCCAGCCCAGTGCTTCCAGAGGCTCCTGGAGGCTGGGGCTGCCCAGCAGGGCAGGAATGAGCTGCTCTGCTGCTCCCCCTCCCTCTCCCACCTCCTCTCCTCCAAGCTCAGCCCCTCTCCCTGCTCCAGCTGGAGCCACAGGTTTATCTGGAGGCGAGGAGTCCCTGCTCTGTAAGCTGAGAGCCCCGAGGAGGAGGAGGGATCTGCTGGACCCCGGAGGAGAAAGGGTTTGGCAGCCTGGAGGAAAGGGAGAGAGGCAGAGCCTGGGCACCATGGCTGCAATCTCTGCTCTTGGGCTCCTGTCCCTGTGTCAGCTCTTGGCCACAGCATCAGCTCAGGTGAGAAACCTCATTTGTGTCTCGTGCTCAGGGGGAAACCTGTATGGGTAAAATACAGTGTGTGTTGTACCTGTGGGGTGAAACGTGGCAATAGACAGGTATTATTCTGAAGTTTATTACAAATGAGATTTATTACACCTGGGTTTGTACCTGTGTGGGTAGGTGTAAAAACTGCTGCTTTCTGTTTCTGTAGAAGTGGTGTTTTCCCATTCAGGACTGTAATTATGAGAGGAAATGCCTTGGAAAGGGCAGATCTGTTGATTCAAGAGAAACAGTTTGCTTTTACAATGAAGTAACAGATCTCCAGCGGAACTGATCTGATCTGGGTCTTTATCTCAATCAGAGTTTCTTACTCATTCCCTAAATCAATTTTCAAATTTTACACTTAGAGCATGTTTAACCCTTGCTCACTTGAGACATGAAGCTGCATGAAACTTCCCTGTCTGGTGTTAATATTATTGTCTGGGGAAGTGACTCCTCAGTGAGATTTTCATTGTTAGTGAGGAATTTTCACAGCCTGGCTTGGGAATTCAGAACTCTGCTGTGAGCAGAGCTACTTCTACAATGAAACCTTTGTTCCCTGAAGCTGCAGTAAGCTGCTCTCTGGAGCCCTCTCCATACAGAAGTCATTTATTGGACCTTTCTCTCCTTCCCCCACCTCAGACCTTTCCAAAAGCCCAGATTTTCAGGGGGCAGCCTGGTCAGAGAGGAGACTTTCTTCTCCAGTCCTCATTGGTGTCTGCCTGGCTTTGCCATCACCCATCAAACTGGGGCTATAAATTCATTATTTCTACCAAGCACTTGGCACCTTTTCCATGGGCTTTGCATTTCCTCCTCTGCCCAACCCAAAACGTGCCTGTAGTCAGAACAATTTCCTATACAACAAAACCTCTTTGCTGCCCAGTGACCAGTTTGCACTCCCAGTACAGTAAAAGGAGCTGGGGATGTGCTCAATCAAAAGGGTTTTCCAAAGAGCCTTGCACTGCTCTGGAGCGCACCCAGGCTGGCAGGGGGTGCAGATTTAGGGTTAAGCTGTAGGATTTTTGCCAATGATTTCTGATCTAGCCCATGTGTTCCTTCTGATGGAAAAACAAGCTCTTGTCTCTCACTTTTCCCCAGTCCCTTCCAAGAATTGGACCCCAAGGCCCTCCTGGACCTGCAGGACCCCCTGGACCATCTGGCAAGGACGGCATTGATGTGAGTGGGGCAGGGCAGGGCTGGCTGGGCCAGGGCTGGGCAGAGAAGCTGCTCCTGCTCTCCAGATCCTCTGGGCATCCCTGGGGGAAGGACCTGGGAAATCCTGTCCTGTTCTGCAGGAGGCTGAACAGCCCATGGGGTGCTGAGCAGGTTCTCTGCAGGATCAATCCCCTGTCCCCAGGGAAGGCTCAGGGGTTTGTGAACCTGCTTGCAAAGTGGAATATTTCTCTTTTTGTGCAGAGGTATGATGTGTGTGGGGTCAGGGCACGTTCAGCAGCTCAAAGACAGATTTATGTGATGCTTCAGAGCATCTCCATCTCTACAGAGGCTACAAGAGACTCAAATATGCAGCACTGGACACTGCTTTTCTCTTTTTAGTTTTATTTCAACATTGTCATCATGGTTATCCCTCACTTTGGCACAGGATGTGTCAGGATCTGACTCTTGTGTTGCCAGACATGAGTTTGTAGTGGCCCAAAAGGCAAATAAAATGAAGAGCCTTTGTTTCAGCAGGCAGCTCCTTACACCTTCTGCAGAGGGAGAAGACGACATAACCCAGGACTTAATGGAGGAGAAAATCTTGTTCTGTTACTTTTAATCCGTGTTTCCATAGAAATTAAAAATATTGCTTCTGTGCATCTGTTGGATAAGGACTGAATTGTGTCCTGTAGTTGGCAGTGGATAAAATGAACATCAGATGGGCCTTCAGCAAGACCACATCAAATGCAAAATCTGGGTTCCTGCTTCAATTTCCAGTTTGAGCAGCTCTTGTCTCTCTGAGCTGCCTATGGAATGGTGCAGAGGGTTTTAAAGCTCAGCTGAAGTGCATTTATTGGAATTGGGCCCTTAAGCAACCTTGAAAAAATCTATTCATTCCATGCAGGTCATTTTCTTTTGAATAAGGAGGTAAAAAAACCCAAATGTATGCACTCCCTGGTACATGGTGAACAAGGAGTGTTTGTGCCTGCAGTGGGGAGCTTTCCCTGCAGCTCCCTGAGTCAGGCTGGGCTGAAGAGAGAACCTCATTGATTTCCAGCTGCTCCTCTGAGTGTCCTTTTGGCTAAAGGAGTCTGTGTTCCTGGGGATCTCCCTCTGGTTTTGTGGTTCCGAGAGAGACGTTCAGAGCTGGCACCTCGGCTGCTTCCGACTGGTTTTGGTGGCGCTGTTTTTTTGGTGGCACTGTATTTGGTGGCGCTGTTTTTGGTGGGGCTATTTTTTGGTGGCACTGGTTTTTTGGTGGCGCTGGTTTTTGGTGGCATCGGTTTTTGGTGGTGCCGGTTTTGGTGGTGCTTTTTGTGGTGTCACAAAAGGCTTCAGGGGACACTCCAGAGGAGGGCAAAGGGAACTGGTTCCAGTTTTCAGCAGGGCATTGCTGTGGCCAGCACACTTTGGGAAAGGCTGGCTGTGATCCACTGTGGAAGCAAAAAGAAGAGTTTGGGAAGGATGAAACCCTTCAGATTTCAAGTTTCAACTTCTGCAGAGAGGAAATGGGAAAGAAACCCTGTAGTTCCTGCTTTCTACAGGATATTTTAACTCTGGAGCAGCGCCAGCATGGTTCTCATTGCTCTTGGAAGCAGGAGCCCAGGGAGGTGTCAGTCATGTGGACCCTCACCCTTTTATCCACAGCTAAAAGCTTTGGAAGGCTCCCTGTGGGACAGAATCAAATAACAACATCTAATTAATGAGAAGAACTTAGCCCTAATTAATCAAAAGGCTGGATAAAGTGTTTAAGGTGCAAAGCCCTGCAGTCCCAACTTCAGCCTGGAGTTTTGGCTGCACAGAAATAATCCCTAATTTGAACTTGAAGCCCTCCCTCGTAGGGATGGAGGATGTCAGGTCCCTGTTCAGGTGAGGTGGTCTGGCTGCCCAGGAAGGCTCCAGGATGGTTCCTGCTCCTCAGCAGGACATGGAGTCCTCTCAGGAGCTGCACAGGAGGAGATGCTGGGCTGTGCCTGGTGTTGAGCACAGTCACAGCCTCCCTGCTTACCAGCTGCCCTTTTTGTGTCAGTAAAATCCAAAAAATGATGGCAAATAAAATTCCACATTTTGCTAGTGCTGCATGGGGAGGGTCATGTGGATCCTGAGTGGCAATGTCAATTATGCCACTGCAAAGTGAAACTATTTTTTCATTTTTCTTTTGTTGCTGAGATTTTTTCTTAAATTGCAATTGAAAATTTTCTGCGCTGTATTCCTGAACTCTGTAAGCCATTCCAGCCAGGTCAGTGTGACAGATGACTTTGGATGAAAGTGGTGTGGAAATGCTGTGGATATCTTTGAGCTGGGTGCTCAGCAGTCTCCTACCATCAGCTGTGAGCACTGAGAGGTGCAGAGCATGCAGCTGAATTATTCAGGATATCTCCTTGGATGAACTCCACCAGCCCAATTTCTCAAAGGTCCAGCTTTCATCCCTGCCTTTCAGGGGGAGCTGCAACATTAAGTCCCTCTGAAATATTTTATAATTAAAGCCTTTAACAAGCTTCTCGTTTCATACCCAGTAACAAGCAAAATCTCTCTCCCAAGACTAGAAACAGCATGTTTTGATGGAAAGAATTAGTGACAAGTTCCTGTGAATTATTTCTGGAGATGTAATTCCCTAAATTGCTAATAAGCAATTGTCACTTTTCAAAAATCAAGCTTTTTTTTTTTTCCCCTCTGTTTTCTGTCTCCTGCCTTGACTTGCTGAGAAAGAGAAAACTTCCCCATGGCACCAGGGGAGCATTTCCTTTTGCTGACAGCCCTTGCTCTAATTCCCAGTGACCTGGCATTGGGGGTGCATGCCCTGATTAGGCTTTGGATTCAGCTCCCTGAAGTTCTGGGGCTCCTGCAGGGTTCCACCACCACAGGATCAAGGTTTCAGATGGTCCTCAGCATTTCTTATTCGTGCTGTGACCTCCCTGTGCAGATTCCCACCACAGAGGAAAGGAGAAATGCAAGGGGCTGGCAATTCCAGGTGCTTGAGGAGGGAGCAAACCACCCCTGCAGCCCTTTCCAGCTGCCTTTTCATTTCCAAAGAACTGTTCCTTTCATTTCCTGGGCAGGGAACCTTCCCCAGCCTGCTATGATAACTATTTATGGAAAAGCTGTGGGCAAAGGACACTGAAGGAGTTGCTTCAGCAAGTCAGAGCATAAAGATGCCTCTGTTCAGGGCCCCTCTGCTTGGTCAGGGGTGCAGGACATAAATCCTGGGCAGCTCCAGGCTGGAGGGATTTGCCCCCAGCCCTCCCAGCAAATATAGAAACCTGCTGTAAATCCCACAGCTCTGCATTCACCTCCTGCCCCATGGTGGGAGGGATGGTGTTTTATTTCCAGCCTTGCTCTGTTAATAACCACCCTTCTTCCACAGAGATTTTCTCCTTCCAGGGTTGCCCCTTCCCCTCTGTTCACCCACAACAGCTCTCAGAATATTCAGTGCATTTACCCTAAAGCCAGGAGGGCAGGTACCCTCTGGACTGGGACACAAAGTGATTTTCTGTGGGATGAGTTGGAAACCAAGCTCCAGTCAAGCTCCTGCTCTTCACAAATGTTTGCTTCTTTTGGGGCCTAACAATAAAATACAAATTTTTGTCTGGAGTCCACACACACACATATGAATGTCAGTATAGGACATGAAGGAACACAAGCACACACGACTGCTCTCAAGGTGAAGAAAAGAGAAGTTTATTTTCTGACTCCGACATTTATAGTTTTCCAAAAGTCACAGTGGATTGGAGAGTGACAGTGCCACCTCTCCAATGACACTGGACAGAACAACAGTCCATCAAATTTCTCCTGCTCCATAAAAGAATGCAAAATAATGAGTTATTTACAGAAAGTGTATAAGAAAGTTTGTTACGCGAATGTCAGCATCAGAAGGCTTAGAAAATCTTAAAAATCAGGGTGACATCTGAATGTCGTTACAACTGGTTGAGCTGGAAGAAGTGATTAAAGACTCACAAAATGTTGTCTCACAAACACCTTTAATGCTGTTCTTAAAAGCTTCTTTTTATTACAATAGAGAAAAATTAGAGTGCTTTTGAAATATTGTATGAAAATTGTGTTTAATGCAGATTGTGCAATTGGATTAGGTGGAAATCAGATGGGGGCTGTGCTTGTTTGCTTTCCCTGTCCAAGTTTAGTCATATGAAGGAAATCATTGTAGACAGTTGTTCATTCTTCACTTTGTGGTGTAATCCCCAGCTCCTGGCAGTGCCACAGCTCCATACTGTGCCCTGGAAAGCTGAGTTGATCTCTGTATCACCAGGAGGGTGTTTGGAAGCTGTGACACCCATCCAGCTTCCTCTCTGCCCCATTTGCAGCCATTCCCAAGGGGAAATAAATTCTGACCATGTGTGGAAGGAGCTGGAAGTTCTGTGGGCAGTGTTTAGGAGCAGTGGTTCTCTCTGGGGGTTGGGGATGTGGATTTCCCCAAATCTGCCACTGCAGGTGTTGGACAAGGCTCATCCTGCTTGGGGGGCAGCAGGTTTAGAGCACCAGCTCATGAGATTGAGCCAGGTAAATGTTGGAGAAGGCATGATGAGAGGTTTGAGTGCAATTGGGAGCACCATTGTTGGAAAAAGTCAGCAAAGCTTCAGCACTAACGCTTTTTCCTCTTTCCCCTAGGGAGAGCCAGGCCCTCCTGGTTTGCCAGGCCCACCAGTAAGTATTTCCTGCTTGGTATTGATTGTCCCTCCTTTCAAAAGGACACAGGACATGAGCTGGCACTCCCAGCCTTGCTTTCCTCTTCACCTGCCACAGAATTCCCAGGGGTGGGGATGCTCAGGGGACAAACACATTCTTCTGCTTGATTGCTATCAGTGAAACAGAATGAAAGTTAAATTAATGAATGAGATGAGTGAGATAAAGCCTGTGCGTCACCTGAATGGGGACAGGTGTCATGGCACCAAGGCACATGACATTTTTGGTCATTTTTGGCACTGCTCTGAGTCTGCTGCAGCCCCTCAGCCTGCCGGGGTGCCCAAACCTGTACCAGACAGAGCCCCTTGCTTTGGTCACTTACTGCATCCCTTCCCTACTAAGAACAGCTTGTGAGCACGTGGAAATGAGCCAAAGCACTGAAATTTAGGATTTGGATATGGATTCACATCAAGATTCACCTCTCTTCATGGGATTCTCCCATGTTGCATGGTGTAGGATTAACACATCAACAAATGAGCTTCCATCCTTGAATCCTTGCTATGTTTCTCCTGTTGTTTTTGTTATAATAATTGATTGTTTACCTCATGTAGGGGCCAAAAGGGGCACCAGGGAAGCCTGGAGCTGCAGGTGAAGCTGGATTGCCCGGCCTTCCTGGAGTGGATGTGAGTATTTGTCATCTTCTCTCAGGTTTTTTAAACCTTTCACCCAGGCAGGAGAGTTTTCCTGATGTGTCTCATCAACTTCTCTGTGCCTACTGGAGAAGGAATGGGAGTCCTGGCCCTACATCTGTGTCTTGCATGTCAGGAGAAATTGAAGGAGAAGCAATTCTGGGCTGAATTAAGGAATATGAGAACAATTTTGAGATGTGTTGCTGACAGGATGGCACTCTGTTGATCTTTTGGGGTTTTTTTGCAGGGTTTAACAGGAACTGATGGCCCACCTGGCCCGAATGGGCCTCCAGGAGACCGTGTGAGTACCTCATTAGATCCTAAATCTCTTTAAATGGTCATTGTTACTGAGTGTGGGGATGATTTTCACATTCTGCTGTAGATTGGGGATATTCAAGTGGTGATACTAATGTAAACCCTTGCAGAATATTTGGATCCTTGAAATGCAGTCCCAGGTGGTTTTTCAGTAGGCAGGGCATGAAATCCACATTTCTTTCACATGGCTTTGAACCTGCTTGGGTTGCCTCAGTGGTGGCTTTACTGGGGATATTTCAAGTATCCAAAAAGTTTCTTGAAGCAGTCAACAGACTCAGTTGTGGAGTTTATCAAAATGAAGTTATTTTGGCCTTTATTTGCAGTCCGAGTTGGCAGATCTGTGTTGTTTATAATTAATGCTACTGGGTATTAATTGTTTGAACTTTTGCCTTTTATTATTTCTGGAACTGTCCATATGGTTGCATTATTAGTTGCCATAGTGTTCCCCAGCCAGCCTAGCAAGAAATAAGGGGTTTTTTCTGCTTTCTGCATATTCTATCTCTGCTGAGTGGCACCACAGGGACAGAGGAACAGCAGCCAGAGATGATACAGATGTCCTTCAGATCACCCACAGTCATCTCCCCTCTCAGGCCTCCCTGTGACATTAAGGAATAATCATTAATGAGCCTCCCAGCACAGATTGGGATCCAGCATGGCTCTTCTCCTGTCTCCCAGACGGCAATATAGGGCTTGTGTCCACAGCTGGCTTGTTGGCCTCTTGGACTCAGGGCTGCAGTGATGGGCTGGATTTCTGTCACCTGTTCAGTATATCCCAATAATCCACTTGTTGGCACAAGGATTTACTGAAATCTAAAAAATCTGTGAGTTATTTAAGGGAATGAACAGTACAACCATGTATTTGTGATATGCTCTTCTTCCTTTGCCATGTGACAGGCAAAGTCTGTGTGGCTGCTGGCAAAGCTGAGTGGCAGGACCCAAATATCCTGGTCACAGCTCCAGGCCTCTGTCCATCACCACCACCATAAACCCCACTCCTTTTCTGCCCCTTGTGCCCATCTTTCTCCCCAGAGATGCAGGTCGGCCAAATCCTGGCCACTCTCAGACATTCTGTGGCAAGGGCCCAGCAGCCTCTGGGAACAGATCCCTGATTTTTAAAGGAGGGAAGCTCAGGAGCACCCGTGGGAGGCTGTGAGCAGTTCTGAGCCCTGTTTGGGGCTGGGTGGCAGTGCCCACTTGGCACACAGCTCCTGCCTTGCAGGGTGATTGAGCAGGTGATTTTTGGGCACAGGAATTCCTCTCTGGCTGCCCCAGACAGGCAGAGCTGCCCTGGCTGCACGCTCGGGTTTGCTGGGCTCTCCCATTTCGTCTAACTCAGTCTGGCAGCATGGGGCAGAGCTGGGACCCCTCCTCAGTTATGGGAGCTTTTCAAGGTCACTGGTCCATCTGGGAAATTGCTTTAATTGGTCTGATAAAAACCTGGGGAAAGGGAGGGCCTCTGAAAGCTTTGGCACTCCAAATGGAGCATTGTTAGCCCAGCTTGCTTTTTTTTCTCCCTGTCTTGTAGAACATATCTCAGTCTTGCAGGACTCACTGAAATAAGCTGTTTCCTTGTTGCTGTGGGTTTTAATTCATGCTTAACACTCTGATTTCTTCCAAATAAGCTTAAATTTTTCAACTGGAGTGTCTGAGAGCAAAGCTATTTAGCATAGGGAAGTGGGCTCACGGAAGCCACTTTTCAGTAATGATTTATTGCCAAACATTTCCAAAAAGTTTTTTATCTTAAATATCTCCCGCTACTCTCAGCACCCATTAGCTTTTCTCCTGCTTCTGCTTAAAGACTGATTAGCTCAAATCTACCTGGTTTTTCAATTTTAAAACCCTTTATTTTTAGCTGGGTCCTGACCTCCATGTTAAGTACTGGTGTCCTTCATTGCAAAGTTCTCAAAGGCCATTTTGAAGCTTGTTGCTTTCCAATGAAAGCAATAAGGAAAACATAATTATTCAGTTCGGTTTATGAATGTCATAATAATCAAGTGTTTTCTACACTCCATAGCTGTCTATTCACAGAGTAAATCGCTACAAAATGAAAAATGATGATGATAGTGTTTTCTAATCAAAAGAGAAAGAACATTGTTACCAGGAGAACGAGTCGAGTCACACAATGTTATTAAAATTGAGATGTAAATTAGAGTCTCTCCTTTGCCTTAAGGCAGTAGCATCAGCTCATTCAGGGATTTCACAGTCTCTTACCTTACCAGGAATGTTCACTGCTGCATTCTGCACCTTACACCCTCCAAGGCATCAGAATTAGGGAGCAAAGGGCCAAAGGCTGGCATTTTGAGTGCTCTGCCATCTTTCTGGCCTGTTGGACAAAGCAGAAAGGAGGGATCCAGCTGCTTTCAGAATGAGGGTGCAAGTGAGGAGGTGCCAGGAATTCAATGTTTCCCTTGCAGGAGGAGATCCCAGCTGGTCCCTTACAGCCACAGCAGTTGTGAGGATTTTATCCTGCAGATAGAAGTGACTGGGGCAGAGCAGAGTGACCTGCAGCAGGAGAAATGAATGAGCTGCCATTCACAGCACAGCTGATTTTATTGGATTACTGTCCTCTGCTCACAAGACCACTCTTAACAAGGCCTTGGGTCCTCTGTGTCTTTCTCCTTAAGCTTAACAAGGGAAACCATTTCTAAACTCCTTTGGCCTGATTTATTAAAAAATATGGATATTGATCTAGTACCGATATCCAACTGTGACAGACAAAAACTCTCTAACAGTTTCAAGTTAGAAAGTGGATGTTTATTGTGGGATAGCTCCCAAATACACCCCGCAATTTACAGGTGATTACAGAGTCCTTTCATCTATACAAGTATTGATTTACAGGTGATTACAGAGTCCTTTTGTCTATACAGGTATTGAATACCCAAAATACAAATGCATATTCATGACTTTGGTACATCCCATTCCCCACTTCGTAGGGTAATCAGTTCAAAAGCTATTAAGCATGGGTAGTTTGTTCCTTGAAATGGGTCGGTGGTCCCTTTCATGGGGAGGGGTCCCAAAATGAGGAAGTAAATGAAGTCTTCTTCGTTCTGACCTTTTCAATGCAAATATGACAAATGAACCCTTGGTAGAACTCCCATTCCTGTCTTCAATTGGTTTCAGAACAGAGGAGGCCTACAGTTGTCTTATGTTCCTAAAAGCCATTTATCAGTTTCTATATTCTTCATTATAAACCTAGCTAACCAAACATTGTGTGCACAAGCAATCAATCAATTATTAGTAAACTACTAACTCTTAACTTCATCAAAGCCTACCCATTTATTTTAGTTAACTCAAATAAAGCTTATCCCTAACTAAAAACTCTGCTCCTCTAAAACCCCTAAATTATTTAAAGTTTGTGTCTCAGGCCCACAGAGCAGGAGCAGAGGGCAGGTGTCATCCCTGGGGTCACAGTGGGACATTCTTGTTCTCCTGCTCCCAGGGGCAGACACCCTTTAATTCCAGCTCAGGAAATCTGCTCAGGATGTTTCTGTGCAGCATTTTGGGGATGCTTGGGAAGGAGCTTTGGGCTGGGGAGAGGCCATGGAAGCTTTGTCCTGCACCCTGGTGCCCTGGGAGCTGTCCCTGCCCATGGCAGGGGTGGGACAGGATGAGCTTTAAGGTCCCTTCCAACCCAAACCATCCTGGGATGCTGGTTCAGAATTATCACCTATAATGAATGTTGCAGCCTGCTGGCAGCTTTGCAATGCAGCAAAGGGGTCAAGGAGATCTCTCTGTGTTCTTATCTTCAGTCAAGCAGGAGCTTCTCAGCTTCAAGAGTGACTTAATTCCAGTCTAAGCCCCAGCCAAGCCTAAGAGTGGGAATGCAAACTGGGAAAAGGAGGTGGGGGAATTGCCAAGGAAGCAAGGGAAGAAGCAGAAGCTGCCAAATCTTTGGCTTTGCTTGAAAGGAAAATAGATGGATTAATAAAATTCGCTAGAACAAATCCAAATTCTGTTAATAGTTTTAGGAAGCTTAGTAATTGGATCTACAATGTGAATGTATTATGAATGAGAATATTTCAAGTAGATAGAATTCAAGTTATGAACGTTTAGATATTCATGGAGGATATTTTAGATATTCATCTGAGGCCAGCTGGGACTTCCAGAGTAATTATCCATATATTTTTGTCCTTATATGTGTGAATTCAGCTGAGCATCTCCAGTTCTGTCCAGCAAGACACTGCTGGAGTTTCCCAGCAAAGATTGGAGTCAAGGAGAGCCGGCCTTGGTGACTCCCCATGTGGAGGTTCCTCTTTTATCCCTGTTGATTTTTATCCTGTTTTATTCCCACAGGGTGCACTGGGACCTGCTGGGCCACCTGGACCTGCTGTAAGTACCTCCCAGAGCAGCTCATGTGCTGAAAATGTGGAATATTGTGCCAAGAGAGGATGGGAAGCTTTGCACCCCAAAAAAAAGGATCAAAGCCTGAATGAGTGAATATATTGTTTGAAATGTTTAAATGTGTATGTGTGACCTGTTCAGGTAGCACAGGCCTGGTTTTATTCTCTGAGGTGCTCTAAAAGCAAACCAGTTTGGGATACAGACTGACATTTCAAATGCTATCACAATTATTAGACATTATCTAATGGCTCATCAAAATTAAAAGGAAGAGAAAAAGGAGAAATAGATAAACTGGAGTATTTTCTTCCTCTCCATGTCCCACCCTTGTGCCACCACACATCTCTCTTCTCACAGATGTCTCACAGGTAACAGAGATGGAAAGGGAATACAAATTATTAGAGACAGCAAAAGGATTCATCAAAACTCTGCTCTGATTGCAAATTATAATCATTATAATGGGGCAAGGGAGTGATAAGGAAACTTAAAACAAAAAAAAAATTAGCAGCATTTTTCCTGTGTGCCCGTTTTCTGAGTGCTCTTTTATTGTTTCAAATGTTGTTTTCAGGGCAAAGGACTACCAGGACCTCCAGTAAGTAATAAGAATTTCTTTTTCAAAAAAATTATAAATTAATATTAATAATTAAATTAAAGAACTAAAAATTATAAATTAAAATTAAGATTATAAATTATACATCTTAATTTTATTGGATATTATTGGATACTCTGACTGTTGCAAACCCACCCCAGGCCTCAGGTCCTTCTGCTGTGCCAGAAGTCCTGCAGATCATTGACCCTGTGTGGTTTTTATCCTGTCCCCACCCTGGGGAAGCTGGATTGGTGTAAAGTCAAGGCTCAGCAGCCTTGTAAGCAGTGGGAGTGACCAGCCCTGGGGCAGCTTTGGTTTGGTGGGGCCCTGGGAGCTGCCCTGTGCCTGAGGGATGCAGATGGGCAGTGAATTCCAGGGGAGTTTTTGGAGTAAAAAGCAAGATGTGCCTTGGGAAGCTGCTGGTCTGGTGCAGGTGGAGCTCCTTGGGGGGAATGGAAAATGGGGACAGCCCAAGTGATGCCTTCAGTTTGAGCTTTCATGTTTTCCTGATTCTGTACTGCATTAGTATGGAACTCTGAATTTCATATGAAGTGTTAGCAAGTTCCCCTCACAGTGTAGTCAGACAAAACAATCCTTTTCCAGCCCCAGAACCAAGGACACCATTACAGCTCCAGCCCCAAAAAGTGCAAAAACAGCAAATTGAGGAGAGCAAACTGGGAGGGTGGGACTGCACAACCTGGAGCTGGAATTGGACATTTAACCCCAATATGGAAATGGACCAAAGCTTATAAAAGTCTGAGAATTTGTGACTCAGGGTCCATCTTGGGTGTAGCCATGGCTGGCTCTTGCACTGCCCAAGGTGCATCCTTAAAAAGCCTTTCAATAAATCCCAGTTTTATTCTTTAACTCTGTCCAGCCCCTGTTCCAGCCAGCCTCTCAAGGCACCACAGCTGCTGGGTACCCCAGGTTTGGGGTGTCCAGGTCAGCACAGATATTGAAGCTCCACTCTCTGTTCCACAGGGGCCTCCAGGACCCAGTGGGCTCCCAGGGGGACACGGATTTCGGGGCCCTTCTGTGAGTTTCTCCCACCATTTAATCCTCATTTACTGAATGTGCCACCACCACAGAAGAATGAGTTTTTAATTTTTGTTTCTTACCTCTCTCTGAAGTGATATTTGTTAGCCACCCCTCACATCCCCTTGCATTTACATTGAAAGGGAATTCTTACTGTTTTCCTCTCCTTTTAGGGACCTTTTGGTCTGCCAGGATTCCCAGGGCCTCCTGGACCACCCGGGCCTCCTGTAAGTTGAGACTTGCAAATGAATGTGAGAAAATTCTTGGGGAGGGGGAGTCTGGAATTTTCTTCTTGCTGCACTTTTTATTTGTTGCCACTGCCATGAGCACTCAGCAAACACCATGTCCTGAGGAGAGGACTTTTCTCTGGGTGTTTTGATGGTGATCTCCTGTTTGTTATTTGTGCTCTGTGTGAGGAGGCACCCAACGAACCCCACCTTTACGGCACACAGGGCATGGGAAGGGCTTGCTGTTCTCTCCAGGAAGGTTTTTGTGCTTGCTTGGATCAGGATCTGTGCTTGCAGGGCCAGCAAGGGGGGACTCTCAGTCAGGTCCCTGTGTGATCGTGTTCACAGGGGTTTCAGGCTGAGGGAAGAGACGAGGATCTGACTCCGTGTTCCAAAAGGCTGATTTATTATTTTATTATATATATTACATTAAAACTATACTAAAAGAATAGAAGAGAGGATTTAATCAAAAGGCTAGCTAAGAATAGAATAGGAAAGAATGATAACAAAGGTTTGTGGCTCAGCTCTCTGTCCAAGCCAGCTGAATGTGATTGGCCATTAATTACAAACAACCACATGAGACCAATCACAGATGCACCTGTTGCATTCCACAGCAGCAGATAATCAATGTTTACATTTTGTTCCTGAGGCCTCTCAGCTTCTCAGGAGGAAAAATCCTAAGGAAAGGATTTTTCATAAAAGATGTCTGTGACAGGCCCTGCTTTGGGTTTGCTGTGGCCTCTCTGCAGTGTTGAACATGGGGACTGGGGGATCTTTCCCGTGGTCAGGATGAAGCCAGGCACAGCTGCCCTTCTCTAATTGCTGCCTTCATCACCTAAGGCCCAAGAGTCTTCCCTGGCATCTCCAGGGATGTTTCAGCCCTGCTGTGTCTGCTTTTGGGGGCTGGTGCAGCGGCAGAACTCTCCAGGTTCAGGGCAGCACTTTGGGCTCTGGGTCTGTGTGTGCCTTGTACTGATCCAGCTGAGCTGGGTCTGTAAAAATTGTCCTAGAAATTGTGTTTCCTCCTGGTGTTTGCCTTATATCTAAAAGCCACCATTCCCTGAATTGCAGGGTCTTCCAGGTGCCCTTCCTGACGGCGGCGGGGACCTTCAGGTAGGTTTTGCTCAATGTAGCATGGAAATATGCTTTGGTTTAATCCCTGATGTGACTTTTGGTAGGCACAGCTGAGGGAGTGTCAGACCATTTAACATGCACGGTTTAGATCTCCAGGTGTGGGTTTAAACCACCTGGGGTGTGTGTTTTCTGTACTGAAATATTTATTCAAGGAGGCAGATGCGCACTGGAACAGATTTCCCATTGAAGCTGTGGCTGCCCCATCCCTGGCAGGGTCCCAGCCCAGGCTGGACAGGGTTGGAGCCCCCTGGGACAGTGGAAGGTGTCCCTGCCCATGGCAGGGGTGGAATGGGATGAGCTTTAAGGTCCCTTCCAACCCAAACCAGTCTTTGATTTTGTCCTCGATTTTTGTTTCCCAAAATGCACATTTTGCATGCATTCTCCGTGTGCTAAACAAGTCCAGCATTTGGTAACAGACAGCAGCTTTCCATGCTTCCAGTCCTGCTCTGCAAAGGGAAGGCAGAGTGTGCAGCTCTGTTTGTTCCCAGGGATGGTGGCCCTGGTTCCATGGACAGGTTTAGGCTTTGTTTAGGTTTCCTCCCTCAGCAGAAGGCCCTGATCCCTTTCTCTTGGGGGAACCAAAGGAGTGTTGGGTCCAAGAATGATGGAAGTGACATTTGCAGATTCCACAGCTGTTGTTGTGACAGCTTCTCTGGTTTCCTAATTGGCATGTCCCAAAAAAAGCTCCTGAGTCAGTTTAGACTGCCTGATGGCACATCACATGGCAGTTAATAGGAAATGGTGCTATTTCTGCATCTTTAATTTAAGTTACCCTGTGGAATATACTAGAAAATCAAATTTTTGCTACAGAGCTGCTGCCTGGAGTTGTATTAAAAGAAAAAAAAACCAAACAAAACGAAAAACAAACCAACAAAACAAATTGAGAGCTATTTGTAAAATTTCAAGACTTTGGCGTTTTCCTCATTAAATTTCCAGTCAAGCTAGAGTTCCCAGCAGGGGCTCTCCCACCCCTGAACATCTGCAGATATCAGCTTATAGGTACTGGGTTTTTATTGGTGCCCTTCAATTAACTCTGATGCCTGTCCTTGTTTCTTTTAAGGAGTTGGCTACAGGAAATCTATAGGGGTCAGTTAATGCAGAGGATTAATTATGGTCCTAATGATTTAAAGAAACTGATCCAGCTTCATTGGTTTCTTCAGCATTTTGGACTGTGGACATTGTCAGCCTTCAGAAAGGCTCCCAGTCCATGTTCAAAGTGGGGTAGGCATTCATAAATCATTATTTTGTGTGGACCTCTAAGACCCTGTTCCATAGGGAAATGTTGGTCAATCCATGATGCTGTGACTCCATTAGATTTAGTGAATTTAGAGCCAAAATCCACAATGACTTTTTCACCTCCTGGACAAAGCCAGCCACCCTGGATGTGCTGTGTGCCCGTTAAACCAAAGTGTTTCTGTTCCCTGCAGTGCCCAGCTCTGTGCCCACCAGGTCCCCCAGGCCCCCCTGGAATGCCAGGCTTCAAGGTAAGGAAACATCACCTGCAATTCCAGATCTGTCTCCCAAAATAAACACCACTATTAAACTATATATTAATTTTATATTAATATATAATTTAAATTTAATTACATTTAATTAAAATTATAATATTAATAAATATTAATAATTAATATTAGAATTATTTATAATAATAAATAAATAATATATAATATGATATAGTTTTTATAATAATATTTAATTTAAATTTATATTAATTAATATATATATATACACACATATATATATATATATATATATATATATATATATATATATGTAGATATACAGTCTCTACATATAGGGTCCACAGCTCCCAAAGCAGCCATGCATCTGCATTTATTCCTACAAATGAAATTTAACCCTTGGCATGGATTAAAAACCCCTGCAAGGCCAGTGCGGCAGAGCTGATGGACAGGAACAAACAGGGGCAGAAATTCAGAGCTGCCTCAAGAACCAGGTGCTCAGAGCTGGAAAAACCTCACCACTTCTTAAACTGCAAAATATAACTTACATAATTAATATAATACAATTTAATTGTTGTTTTTATAGCCAGTGTAGCAGCAGGCAGATTTATGTTTAAATATTTTAAAGAGAATTATTTAGTTGGCCTCTGGTATGTAAATTTTCAGCCCTCAGGAGTTAAACATCTCCTCTCTGTCCCCTCTATGTCTTTGCAGTTATGGACTCCAGCAGTGAGACAAAATAAAAAGTGATTCAAGTTCTTTTAGCAGGATTTAGAAGTTGGCAGTGAGTGGGAGAACACCTGGGAAATGCTCTCAGTTCCTCCTGAGTGACCTTTCCCACCTTCCCTGCCTGCTTGGGCTCTGCTCTGAGTCATGAATGTCATTACAAATACAAGATGTTTGGGGATAACTGCTCAAAATTCATGGCTCATGCAATGGAAAACCCAGTGCAACTCTTCAATTATGATGCAAATGGTGCCCAGGACCTTTGTTGTGGTGAGGAATAACATCTGCCACAGCTGGAATGAGCCTGGGTCTCTCCACAGCCACAGAACCGAGCCAGGACTCAAAGTGAGTCAGAGCTGATGAGAGAGCTCTCAGTGGGACAAGGATTTCTTTGAAAGCTTGATGATGCAGATGTTAAAGATGATGTAAAAAGGGAGGTTAAAATGCAGAATGGGGTTCTCAGGAGTGACTCATCCCCATTTCTGGGGTGATGGGAGCTGAGTTCTGGTCCCTGGGTTTGAGAGTTGCATCCAGACCATGAGCTTAGTGAAAGTCACTCTGGAAAACCAAATCTGGGCATTTTCAGGAGCTGCATCAACTCTGGTACCTGACAGCCTCCCCCAGGAGGGATCTCCATTCACAGCACACCTACAGACTGCTTTCCCTCAAAGTCATTTGGGATGTGGGGTTTAGATTTGACAGCTGTCTCACCAAACCTAATTTTGAAACAAGGCTCTACTGGGATGTGAATAATCATAACTCTTATTTCTAGGGACACACTGGTCACAAAGGGGAGCCTGGTGAAGTAGGAAAACAAGGAGAAAAGGTAAACTTACACTTAAAAGTAACAGGGGAGGATTTCTCTCTTTAAAAACAACTAGAAAAAGCAATAAGGGATTTTTTGAAGCAGGCAGGGAGGAATGAGGCTGTTTCTGAACAAGGAGCAGTTACTTTGGCTGAAGTGCATTGGGTTCCACTGCTCTCCCTGTAGCACCATGGGCTGACTCCCCAGGAAAATTCATCTTTCCAAGGATCACCATGTTAAGATCAGTTTGAGTTAACAGCTATTCTTTGCCATGCAGGGATGTCAGCTCAGGAAAAGCCCTGCTTTAATCACTTGGATAAATTCCTGACTGATAATCACTTGGATAAATTCCTGCTTTAATCACTTGGATGAATTCCTGACTGATCTGAATGCTCTTGCACATAGAAATTGTCTGTAACATAGAAACACATTCTGAAGAGAAATCTGGGAGGGAAGGAGGGAGAGAGGGAGCTCAGGGAGGAATAAGATGGGGCTGTCCCTGGCTGTGTTTGCTGCTGTCCCTCCTCCTGTCTGATTGATTTTTCTGTCCCAGGGTAACCCTGGCCCTCCCGGCCCTCCAGGGATTCCCGGCGGTGTTGGCCTGCAGGTAACCCCTCCTTCTTCTCCTTCTCCTTCTCCTTCTCCTTCTCCTTCTCCTTCTCCTTCTCCTTCTCCTTCTCCTTCTCCTTCTCCTTCTCCTTCTCCTTCTCCCTCCCGTCCCATGGCCTTGTCATGTGGACTCACCTTGATTACACAAACACTGATTAAGTCTGAACTGATTTGTTTCCTTAATTAGGGCCCAAGAGGACTGAGAGGCCTCCCTGGCCCAATGGGTCCAGCTGGCGACAGAGTAAGCAAAAAACTTCTCATTTTTCCTTTTCCTGTCCACCACCAGTTTGTCTTCTGACAGGTGCCAGTGGCATTTGTCTTTACTGAATCCCACTGGGAAACTCATAAAGTTTAAAGTGTGGGCTGTTCCCTGCAGCTCCTCCATCAGAACAACCTCCAAAGTCAGGAATCCTCACAGCCAAGGGACTGGCAGGGTCAGCCCCAGCCAGACTGAATCATTCCAATCAAAGGGCAGCACTGGCAGTGCTATAGAATCTTGAAAAAAAAACCAAAAAAAAAACCAAAAAAATCACCCCCAAAAAAAGAGAAACATTTCATTAACATTTCACTTTCTGTCTGTCTCTTTATAAGAAAAAGCCAGACAAAGGTTTTCAGGACACAAAAAGGCTCTTCAGTGAGAACAGGGTCAATCTCCAGCTCATTGAGGCTTTGGATTCCTGTCACAGTCCCTTGACCAGCAGCCCAGAGGCTGAATGGGTTTGAATTGGATGAAGTCATGCATTTATTTAGGATCAAGAGTGTTATCAAGATAGCAAGGCCATGAATGCTGTCAGTGTATCAGAGGCACAAAGGTGGGGAGATCCAGAGTGAAACCCTTTGTTCAGAGTGGGATTTGTCTGTCCTGCAAACCAGCAGGAGATACAGGGCTGTCTTTCCAGGGCTTTTGTGTTTTCTCAGGTTGTGGTGCAAGGTGGGGATTCTGTTACTTCACCCTCTGCCAAACCCAGGCTCACAATGATGTCTGTCTGTCTGTCTGTCCTCTGCAGGGTGACATTGGATTCAGGGGCCCACCTGGCATCCCAGGACCTCCAGGCAGAGCTGTATGTATCCCAGTGGATATGTATCCCATTGGATATGTGTCCCAGGCTCTCTGGGGCCCTGCCCTCCACAGCCTGGTTTATTCCTCCTTCCTGAGCTCTGCTGCCATTGAGCAGAGCTATGCTGCCCACCTCCAGCAGATTTTTCCCTTTTCCCTTTCCCTCCATCAGAGCAATGTTATTTTACCTGATGCAGACCTCACAATGTCTCTCCCTTTGCCATGCCCCACACCAGAGTAAATTCACCACATTTCCATTACTCTCTGTGCTTCACTGCCCTTCCTTGAGCACCAGCAGCTGTGGGCAAGCCCTGGAGAAGGGAATATCCATTAATTTTTGAGGAAGAATCAACCCTTTTGTGAGCTTACATCCCTTGAGCCTACTCTGTTCCCAGGTTCCCAGCTCTCAAGGATTTTTGCTCCAAGCAGGAATAGCTGTGTGTTGAAGATGCAATCCCCATCCTTCTGCAGCAACACTCTCTGGGGACCCCTCCCTAGCCTTGCAATTATAGAAGAAATTCCTCCAAACTAAAACAAAATGAGGTGCTTTCTCACCAAACCTTTCGTTACACCCAGCAGGATCTAGGCAGTAAATATTAAAGCTTTTCTCCCACTCTGTTTCTGCTTAAAGAAATTGCTTCATTAAATGAAGGGGAAGATGGTCCCTGCCCTGAGGGGCTGTTGGCAAGGTCCCTGCTGCAGAAGGGGTGTCAGGAATTGGGGTGTCAGGAATTGGGGAGTCACTGAGAAAGTGCCCCCAGCTCTCAGGGCACTGTGTGTGCTCACACCTCTGCTGACACCAGCAAACAGCACAAAAATCTCCTCATTTCACCCCAAAGCAGCAATCTCTGCCTCTGTGTGATGAAGATGCTTAATGGCTTTTCCTCCTCTGTCACAGGGAGACCAAGGGAGCAAAGGACCTCAGGGGTTCCGGGGGCCCAAAGGAGACACTGTAAGTGCAAACACCCTTTGCTCCAGTCCAAAGAATGTTCCACAGGTTTATTATGGTTGGTGCTCCCTTCATTTGCTTGAAAGGGATGGAAGCACCATCTCAGAAATGAGATGTTTGACTCTAAGGTGTCCAAGTGCTGCTGCAGCCTGGAGCACAGGGAGCAGATCTTACATTTCCATCCCTTGAAATGATCAAGGATCTTCCCAGGTGTTATATCCAGCACTGGGCTGGTTTCTTGCTGTGTCCCAAACCTCCAAATTTATCTGGACAGAGAGGACCCAGCTGAAATGAAATGAAATGTCCCTACAGAATTTGAGTGTTGTCTTTGTTGACTGTTCTTCAGGTTAATTAATTCAGGATTTATTGTTATTTTCTAGGGTAAACCTGGACCAAAAGGAAACCCAGGGGCTCGTGGGCTCATAGGAGAACCTGTAAGTGAGTTAAGCAGGATGCAGGTCTTGCTGTTTGTCTTTCTTGCAGGTGAGGAGATCAAACAGAACAGGCAAAAAGCTGCTCCTTGCCATCCTTGCTGTCAAACTCTGCTCTGTGGTCTCTGTGCAAGCCCAGCTGGGCTAAGCCACAGTTGTACTGCTGCTAATGAAAATCTCCCAGCACAACTAGAGCTGGACTCATTGCCAAAAGCTTCTTTGATGTGAGTTTTGCAAACCACAGAGCCTCCTCTGACCCAAACCTGTGCTGTCCATGATTGCAGGGGATGCCTGGCAAGGACGGGCGGGATGGAGCTCCTGGACTCGATGGTGAGAAGGTTTGTAAAGTCCTGCTTCACACTGCAGGGAAGGTTCCTCAGACTGCAATTCCCCTCAGGAAGCTTGGCTGGAAAGCTTTTCCTTCTAAAGAGTTTTCTGGTAGTGTCACTAGTGAAGGAGAGTGAAATTCTCCTGTTAGTTAATCCTGAGGGAATTCCCTAAAGAAGGGAGGTGCACAAATGATGTAAACTCAGCTGTGCCCCTGGGTTCAGTGGTTCCTGCTGGCTGACTCCAGGCCCTCAGAGATGCCTTTTCAGAGCTGATTTCAATAGCCTGGAGACAAGGTGCTGTCAGGGGCTGGTTGCCTGGTTCCTGAGCTGAGCTCCTGCAGGAACATTGAATGTGCTGCCAGGGAGGGCTGGGAGCTGCAGGGAAACTCTGGGAGCTCCTGTCCAGTGGGTGCTCACTCCTCTGGACACAGCAGCTCTGGGTCCTGTGCACACAGGGGGGGAGAAAAGCACAAATGCCTGTGTGGGAATGTGTCCCCTGCCTGTGCTGGAGGATCCCTCCTAACCTGTCCCTGTCCACAGGGTGACGCAGCTCCCATGGGTGCTCCTGGAGAGAAGGGGCCAAATGGACTTCCCGTGAGTATGGAGCAGGACCTGCCACCCCTGGGGGCTCAGTGTGCCTGCAGCGATCCGTCCTGGGGACAGGGCAGGGTCATTCTGGGGCTGTTTCACAAGGAGCTCTAGTTAAGCCAAGAGGAAACGAGTCACAGACATCTTTTATGAAAAATCCTTTCCTTAGGATTTTTCCTCCTGAGAAGCTGAGAGGCCTCAGGAACAAAATGTAAACATTGATTATCTGCTGCTGTGGAATGCAACAGGTGCATCTGTGATTGGTCTCATGTGGTTGTTTCTAATTAATGGCCAGTCACAGCCCAGCTGGCTCAGACTCTGTCTGAGACATAAGCCTTTGTTTTCATTCTTTTCTTTTTCTATTCTTAGCTAGCCTTCTAAGAATAGATAAGATGAAATCCTCTCTTCTATTCTTTTAGTATAGTTTTAATATAATATATATGATAAAATAATAAATCAGCTTTCTGAAACATGGAGTCAGATCCTCATCTCTTCCCTCATCCTCAGACCCCTGTGAACACAGTCACAGAAATCCACTTTTCCCACCCTGCAGACAGGGAAGGAGTGTGCCAGACAGGGCTGGAGAACACCTGGAGCAGCAACTCACAGTAATTCCCTGCCTGCTGGCTTCTCTGACTCTTTAAAGTCTAAACTTGAGAGAGATTTTCTCTTTCACATCCCACTGATGTGCATCCCTTATGGAGGGAGGCAAGATCTCTAATACCCTGAGCTCTGTCCCTGCCTTACTCCAGTGCTTATTGGCAAAATGTTTCATCTCCCCAGACTTCCAACTATTTAAAAGAGATCAAGTATTCCTTTCTTCCTGCATTTGCAGAATATTTTGAACTCCCCTGGAGAGAGGTTTCTGCAGTGCAAAATGTTGCTGCTGCTGGTCCATTTGCACATCCCTGCTCTTTGCTCTCATGCCAAGGATTTGTGCTCATGGAGCTGCAAGGGCAGCAAGAGAGACATTGAAATCATAATTTTCACAGTGAAAGCTGCAGAAGTTCTAAACCTTCCATTGCTTCAAGCAAAGGTCGCTCCTTGTGTGTCAAATCAGACCAGAATAACAAATTAAATAACTTCACTTCTTCTGACATTGCTTTAATGTGATTGTTTTTTCAGGGTCTGCCTGGAAGAGCAGGTATTAAAGGCTCAAAGGGTGAACCAGTAAGTGAATCTCTCTAATGATGGGGTCTGGTGGGGAAAGTGGTCACAGCAAGACTTTTTAGCTTTGGGGGACTGGGAGGACTTACCCCAAAGTGATGGATTCTGTATTTCTGATGGGGCTAAAGAGCTGAAATTAGGTAAAATAACGGGGCTGGCACCTGGTTCAGACACAGCAGATCCATAGGAGAGTCATCAGTGGTTTAGTAAACCTCATCCTTTTGTCACAGTCCCAGGAGGAGGTTTGATCTTTGGGGATCAAAAGGCTGAGCACCAGCAGGAGCAGAATGATCTCATCTTGCCTTCTGCAGATTTTCCCTCACCTCAGGATAAAAACTTCCATGGAGCTTTAGATTGACACCTACCTGTGAGATTAAAGAAAGCCTCAGGCACACCAAAGCACTCCAGCACAAAGCTGCTCTGAGAGGTGTCTTTGTCCCTCTCCTTTATGAATATTTCCCTCTGCATCATTATTGCTGCTAATGCTCAGGGAGGAGAGCAGGCTGCAGGAAGGTGGGGCAGGAATCTACTCTGGTGTGCAGGAGGGAATGGGATGGGATATCCTGGCATCCCCTGGCCCTTGGTGCCAAGAGAGAGTGTGCAGCTCACCTGTCCTCTGGTGCTGTGAGCTTTGCCTCAAATCTGTGAAAGTTTAAATCTGTTCTTATTTCCTGATCCAGGTTTTAACTCCCCTCTCCTGTTGCTGCTTCAGGCAGGACAGAAATGACTCCCTGAGGTGCTGCTGCCCTCACTGAGTGTTTGCTTTGTGCTCTGCAGGGCAGCCCTGGCGAGATGGGAGAGGCAGGTCCCTCTGGAGAGCCAGGCATCCCTGTAAGTGCCCACATTTCCATTTACCATGGGCTCTGTTGCTGAATTTTAAACCCAGCTGGGGAGCTGGAGCTCACGTGCTGCTTCCTTGCATCAATAAATCTCCCACTGATGCAGCACCTGCAGTCCCAGGGGGTTGAGCACTCCAGGCATTGCGCAGTGGTGTGAGCTGGCTGGGCAGGGTGCTGGGCAAAGCCCACCAGCAGTGGGCTGGCAGAGGGGCCAGGGGGGCAGGAGGTGGGGGCTGAGCAGCCTGGCATGCAGGAATGTGTCCCAGAGGGCTGGGAAGGTGGATTTGGGTTTGGTGGCTTTGTGCCTCCTGAATGTCACAGCTGCCTTTGGTGTCCCTGCCAGGGCGATGTTGGCATCCCTGGTGACAGAGGTCTGTCAGGACCCAGAGGAGCAACTGTAAGTACAGAGCTGGCTGAGAACCAGAGAGGTGCCAAAATAGGGTTGGGATGGGGGGTCACTCTCTGGCTACAGTGAAAAGCCATTTCTCTCTCTGTGGTGTCTCTGGGGAGCTTTGGCAACACAGGAATTCCTCCCCAGGCTGGGTCAGGTCCTGCTCTCACTGACAGCTCCATGCAAAGGCCAAGGGATCCCTCCCATTCCCCTTGGCAGAGCAAACTGCAGCTGCCAGGGGGTTTGTGGAGCTGCAGGAGGGGCTGGGCACTCAGAAAGCCCCTCACTGCACAGGAACAGGAATGTTCTGCCCTGCTGAAATGAGGATTAGGGAAGCAGAACTGGTGGACTTTGCCATGAGCACATGAACCTGAAATCCTCCCCAGTCCTGCATCCCTTTCCTTGCAGCACTGCAGAGGGATTCCCTGCAAAACCTGAAGCCATGGATACTACAAAACTGGGAGTAACTGCATGGAGTCCCTGCTCAGCAGCAGAGATGATAACAAATAATACCAGGAGGGTAAAACCCTGATTTTGATCCCACTACTGAAAATGCTTGGGTACTTTTTCCTCTTGTCACTCCCAACTATTGCTGCTATTGGGCCTGGATCTGATCTTCTAGTGGTTTTGTTGGGTTTTTTTCTTTTTCCTTTTTTTTTTTTCCCCCCATCTTAATCTCATTTTGAAATCCAGGAGCCTACAGCAAGTCTAATATGATTTCTGGTACGTGCCACTTGGAAGAAATTGAACTGCATGATTTATTGTTTGTGAGGAGCTTCTGCTTTAACTTCCAAGCAGAGGGAAATCAGCTTTAGAAATAAACTGTATTAATAATGTTTGCTTTTATGTCTGCAATTTTTCACCTGAGTGGCTGGCCTCACAAAAGGTACCACATTATTGCAGCCAAAAAGCAAAAGCAGTTGAGCTGATTGTGTTGGTGCAGAGTTTTGACGGGGGTGCTGTTGCAGCTGAACCCATGGTTATGTCTAACCTGGGCTTCTCATTTCTGATTTGTTTTATTGGAATCATAATTTATTTGTTAAGACTGGGCTGTTCCAAGAGAGGTGCAGGATTTTTCCAGTGTTAAGGCTACTTGACTCAAAATAATTTGGGTTTTTTAGCTTTTTCTCAGAACCTGTCAGGTCCCTCCAGCTCCCATCAGCAGCTCAGCAGAGCCATTTTTGATGCAATTTAACTCGACTTCCCTAAAGCTTTGTATTTATAACTTTTAAAGTTCCTTACTGAATTACAAGCAGAAAGCAAAGTGGAAAGCAGTAATCACAAAAATACCTGAGCAGTTGTTCAGCTTTTTGGGGCTGGTGCTGGTTTATGTCAGTGGCCAGTCTGGGGTTTATTTGTGTCCCTGAATGCTCCACCCAGCAGGGATGGCAGAAAGGAGCCAAAGCTGCAGCCCTGCCTCGTGACAGAAGCTTGCTGAAGGCATCTATTTCAAGAAGACAGTTTACAAAATGAGATTTAAATGCCTAAATTACTTAGTTGGTTTTTTTTTTTCATCCAAGATCTTTATTGGATCTGTGATATTTTTCTCAGGAGAAAGCAATAGAGACTCCTAATGGTAACATTCATGTTCTGTCTGGTGAGCTTTTAAAAGCCCTGGCAGCATAAAGTGCTGCTTTTTTATACATTGCTGGAACCAAGGTGCTCAAACAGATGGATGCAATTGCCATTTTTCATTTCCAAGGGCCTGCAGCACGTGTTTTGCAGTAGTTCCTTGCAATCAATTAAAAGCAGAATATTGGGACAGCAGATCCCTCTAATGGATGCTGTCTGTGCTCTGTCATGCTGCCACTTTTTGCTGTCCCTGATCTCTACTACTCATGAGTAGTGCTGTTAAGCATTGGTTATCCAAATAAACCTCTCTGTTAACAGCAGTGCAATTAACAAAGCTCAGCAAACACCAAACCAGCTTTGCAGGGGCAGCAGCATAGAACTGCCCAGTCTGCCAGTTCAGTGACAGCTGACTCACCTGGCCCCAAATGTTCTCCTCACCTGGCCCCAAATGTTCTCCTCACCTGGCCCCAAATGTTCTCCTCACCTGTGCAAACCCAGGGCACCACAGGGAATGTTTCTCTGTCAGTTCTGGGGTGCCCTGACCCCCAGGGGAACACTGACTCTGACCCTCATTCATGGAGAAAGTTTCCTGGACTTAAAGATAAACTAGAATCCACAAAAGTGTGAAACAGATTACAGAGAGTAGTGTAGGTGTATCACTGGGTGATAAACTTAGGTTTTGGGATTTTTAGTATATTGTGGATGGCAGCAAGATGGAGAGCACAGGGTGTCATCCTGGGTTTCTTCTTCATGCTTCTTCTTCCTTCTTCTCCATGGGTTTGGGTGGCATTTTGTAATTGGGCAGAAAAGTCCCCATTGCAGCTCTGTGGGATCAGTTATTGGGTTAAAAGAGAAAATAATTTGGTGTCAGTTCTTAATCGGACAGTTCAGTCTTAGGGGACCTTGTAACAAGAGACTGTTGGCCATTTTGTGCCTTCTAATGAAAAGCTGCAGAACTCACAGCAGTGAGACTGCTTTACTGATAAGAAATAATAAACACCTGAGTCTGAACATGAACTACCATCTCAAGTGCCTTCAATGCAGACCCAGAAAAACCAACAACTGGTGTCCCCACACTTACCAAAGCTGATCTCTCTCTTTGCAGGGACCACTTGGCCTCCAAGGCCCCATAGGAGCCCGAGGTGTCCGAGGCTTCCAGGTCAGTGTCACAGAGGGGACATTGTGGTATTTTGGCAGATCAGTGCTCTCTGCAAGCCCCTGGCCAGAATTTGGGTGATGGCAATGAGGGAAGGGAAGAAATCTCTTCCATTTGCCAGAGCCAGTGTGACACCTTCATTACCAGGGGATGGTAGAAAGAGCAAAAGGCCAGATAAGCTGCCTGCAGGAGGAATTTATATTTAGTGTTTGTTTGCAGAGGGAGGGGTTGAGTTTTGAGCCTTTTCCCTGGGAGCAGTTGTGGCTGCCCCATCCCTGGAGGGGTCCAAGGCCAGCTGATGGGGCCCTGACTAGCCTGCTCTGGTGGAACGTGTCTCAGCCTGTGCCAGGTGGTGGAACAAGCTGAGTTTTAAGGTTTTTATGACTTTTTGGGTTTGATCTTTGTAAAGACACCTCAGTTTCTCCTTGATCTGCTCCACTTTCTGTTTTTCTTCAGTGCATTCCTCCTCCTTTTTGCTGCACTGGGGTCTCCAACCTTTCTTCCTCCCTCCTCCAAGGATGTGGGACCTCCACTCCCCACTGGCACTGGCTGAGGGAGCATCACTTGGTGGGCTCACAGATATTGAAGGTTTATTAATTTTAAGAAGTTTATTAATGAAAGACCCAGTACAAAGGTTGGAGCCCCTCACACATGCCTGACCTTGAACCAGGAGAGAAGCTGGAGTGAGCTGTACCAACCAACACAAGTGGGGAGAAAAAGGAGAGAGACATTCAAAAACAACCTTTCTGAACCTGTTATGGAGACTGGTGAGCTCCCAGGGTTCTGCACTGTGAGCTGTAGCTTGGTTTTGTTGTTCTCCCAACAGGGCCCCAAAGGTGCCAGCGGTGAGCCCGGCCTGCCAGGCCCGACTGGGATCCGTGGAGAGACAGGAGACAGGGTAAGGATAATGCTCCTGGCACCCATTCCTGCTTGGGATGGGCATTTAGGGGGCAGTGGGCACCCAGACCTGGTGTAGCTGTTGTGTGCTGGGTGTCCCTGGGGCTGCCCAAGCCAGGCCTCAGGGCAAGGGAGCAGGATCCATCCTGTCCCCTCTGTTCCTGCTTTCTGTTCCTCTCCAGAAACTCCCACTATTTTCAGACAGGGTGAATTGTTTAAAAGCAAATTCCAGGCCCTATCCTATCCAAAATATAGAATGTTTTGGATTTTCCCCTGTTTCTTACATTGGTTCCACCAAAGCCTTCCTCCCCAGCAACATGAGAGAGCTGATTCATGAATTTTTGTTACTGAGATGCTTGATTAGACTCTCTGGATTTTTTTTTTTTTAATTCCAGTTTTATCAATGACTTTTCTTTCTGAACATCAAAACACATGGGCATCCCACCTCACAATAAATGTGACTTTTTATTTAAATTAGTTCATTCTCAATTTGAAAGAAGCCATCAGGGCAAAGTGAACAGCATTTTTTGGGAGTTTGCAGGAGAACAGGAGCCATGTGTTCACCAGCTCCCTCCTCCCCAGCTTTAAGGTGAAAGTTTTTTTTTAAAAAAAAGCTCTAAGTTGCTTTCTATGTAAGCAACTGCAGCAGCACCACAGGGGTTCCACAATGGCCCTTCTGTGCTGGCTCCAGGCAGGTTGAAAAAAGCCTTTTGGAGTGGCTGTGGGCTGGAAGTGTGAAACAGGAGCGTTATTGTGGAGCTCTGGGGCTCCTGGCTGCATTCAGGGCTTTGCTGTGGTGAAAAATGTACAAATTCAGAGGGGAAGAGGCCCCTGCATGAAGCTCCAAGAAGAGGGAGGGATCAAACTTTGTGCTTAAAGCAGTAAAAAATAATCCAGGTTTTATTTCTGCCTCTGAAGTTCAGTGCAGTTACTCTGAGATGGGATTGTTGGTTGCTCAGAATGAGAGGAAACGGCCTCAAGCTGCAGCAGGGAATGTTTAGATTAGATATTAGGAATTTTTTTCCCAGAAAGGGTTGTAAAGCATTGGGACAGGCTGCCCATGGAAGTGGGGGAGTCCCCATCCCTGGAGGATTCAAACAAGGTGTGGATGAGGCCCTTGGTGGTTTAGTGGTGCTGGGCTCACCCTAAACCCTCAGGCTGTGTTTTTATAGCCTGAACAAACAGCCTGTGCTGCTGGGGACACACAGAGCACCCAGAGATCTGCCCTGGGTCAGGATAAAAGGGAGAGCTGCACACACAGCATCCATGCAATCACCCTGTCCCAGCTGCAGCCAGCTCATCACACTCTCCTGAAGTCAATTGAGACCTTTCTGTGGAAAAAGAGAAATCCCCTCATGCCTGAGCTGGCTGAGTACTGACAGGCTTTTTCACAGTCCTTGGACTGACTGCTCAGGCATGTAAACCAGCATTTCAGTCAGTGTGCTTGCTGGCATGAAAAATACCAGTGGTTTGGTGCATTTGTCTGTAAGATTGTGACTGTGCTCACAGGGGTTTTCAGATGAGGGAAGAGACGAGGATTTGACTCCATGTTTCAGAAGGCTGATTTATTATTTTATGATATATATTACATTAAAACTATACTAAAAGAATAGAAGAAAGGATTTCATCAGAAGGCTGGCTAAGAATAGAAAAGAATGAATAACAAAGGCAGCTGTCCCAGACTCTCTGTCTGTGCCAGCTGGGCTGTGATTGGCCATTAATTACAAACAACCACACGAGACCAATCACAGATGCACCTGTTGCATTCCACAGCAGCAGATAATCAATGTTTACATTTTGTGCCTGAGGCCTCTCAGCTTCTCAGGAGGAAAAAATCCTAAGGAAAGGATTTACATAAAAAGATGTCTGCGACATAAGATATAAAATAGTGTTGAGATAAAATACATCAGCCATCCTGCTGGGGTGGGATATGGGATGGGGAAGGGCTGGGCTGTTGTTGCTGACTGAGGCAGCAATAGACAAATATTTTTCCTAAGGATTTTTATTATGATGAAATTCCTGAGGATCCTGGATGCCAGCAGCCACCTGGGGCATTGCCTCTCTGGGCTCCCTCCTGGAGCACTGAATGCTTGGCCAAAACCATGAGATGAGTTTTGTTGAGCTGATCAGAGAAAATGCGTGAAGACATGGGGCTGGCAGTCCTGAACTCCTTGTTCCTGCAGAGAATTGGAGTTTTGAATGAAAATCCTCTGGGCTAAGCTTGTCTTTAAGGGAATGTTCCTTGCAGGGCTTAGTCTTTGGTGACTGAACTGTGGTTTTTTGCCATAAACTGTCATGGAGCCTTGAGACTCTGTGAAGTCAGAGGTATAAAATTTAGATAAAAATGTTCAGAAAGGAATATATTGCTTTTGCCTTCAGCAAACATAAAACAGGTGTTATAAAGTTTTAGCCACTCTTGCATTTCTACATTCCATTGTCTGTTTTTCTGAGTTATTTTTCATTAATAGAAATCTCCCCTCTTTTTAACTTAGTGCTTGAATTGAACAAAATAAAATGTCCTTGTTGTGTATGTTTGTTCTCCTTGAAGATTCAGTTCTGCTGAGCCATCTCTAGATCTAGTTAACAAAAAAAGATCAGTTTGCAGATGCCAGATTGATGAGAGTGCTATAAAAATCCTGCTTGAAGGGTAAAATGGCTGAATTTCATATGTAGATTTTGCAGTAGAGAAAAAAAAATTGGGGTTCTCCTGAACTCCCATTTGCTCTGCTCTCTGGAGCAGAAATGTCTCAAATAGGGCTGAAAATATGAATGTCAGGTAGATAAAGATGAAAGGATTTTCCAAATTGCCTGGATTACTCCTGAGGTGATAATCAGTTCATCATCTAAATGTATTTTATTCCTGTGGCCATGTTGTTCCATTAATCTTTAAATCAGGAGCACCTAATTCTAAATCCTTGGAAAACTGACAGTCTAATAAGGCCTTGAAAAAGCATCTTGGCTTTTTGCCCTTGTGGTATGAAAATATTCTTGTCTGTTTTATACCACAAGTAAATCCAAGCTCCTCTCACATCACAGGCTGAGAAATTACCCCACAACACAAACCAGGGATGTGGAGAGTGTCACAGAGCAAGCAGGGGGGCTTAAATCCCTTCTTATTTCCAGGAAGTGTGAATGAGATTTGTACCCTCTTACTTTGGCAGCTGGGAGACTCTGCCCCTTGCTGAGAGTGTCTGACCACACCAGGAATTCATAGCAAAGTCACAGTTGGAGCTTATTTACTTCTTTCTCTTATTTATTTATTTATTTTCAGGGTCCTCTCGGTGCTCCTGGTCCCAAGGGGAACCAGGTAAGTGATAACTTTTATGTCCTTGTCAGCAGAGGCATTTAAACCAAATTCCAGGGACAGCCTTTGCCAGCACAAATGGCTTTTTCTTCCACAAATGAAAATATTCTGCAGCAGAAACCAAACCCCTCTCTGGTCCCATTTTCCCTGCATTGGCACAGATGTTGCCTGTTCTGGTGGGGACTCATGGAAATGCTGTGGTACAAACACCAGGCCCTCAGTGGGTGTTTTGTAGCCACAAGGACCTGTGCAGGAGCTCCTCACATCAAATCCAAAGTCAAGTTTAGGAGTGCAGCTTTTCCTGTGCCTGATGAAGGATGTTTCACCCTAACCTCAAAGCCTGGCACCTTAATGAAATAGTTTAATCTTATACTTTTTGCTGCTCAAGGTCCATGCTTGGTTTAATCTCAGCAATGAGCTTTTGGGCCAGTTTTCATCAAATATATGGTTTTTATTAATGCATGGCTGTGTTCTTGCAGTAAGTGGAGATTTCCTAGCAAGCCTTGCTGGTTTGGTTTACCAGCATCAGTGTGGTCTGTGTTTTGCTGCTAAGGGGAAAAACCAACCTGATCTCTGTTTGTCTTGGAAAAATTCCCCTGGAAAGCCATAGAGTCACCATAACAATGTTCATGATCTGCTCCAATAGCAGAGCTCTGTGCTGAGCCAGCTCTGCCCTGGGCAGGGGTTGCAGGGATTGCAGGGGTTTGTGTCACCCAGGCAGGCTCAGGTTGCTCAGGCTGCTGCTGGTGGAGCTGAGCCCCAAAGGGCTGGGACAGGGATGCCACCAGAGCTTTGCCACCCTTGCATTGCTGTCCCAGGAGAGCAGAGGGGTGTTCCTCACCAAGAGATCATGCAGTTTGAGGGTGGGATGAAGCTGGGACCCTGCTCAGGAGGCCAAGGGAATGGGACACTCAATATTTGCCTGTGGCTGCAAGCCCTGTTTTCTGTGAGCCAGAGCAGGGGGAGCTGAAATTTCGGTTCCCTGCTTGAGGAATGCCAGTGCCAGCCTGTGGATCTTTCATGGCTCTCATCCATACAAATCCAGCCTTTCCTCCAGGTCCTAGCTTGTTGCAAAGGGCACCCAGTCTTCGTGCCAGCTGCCCTGTGCCCATGTGCCTTCACCAGCAGGGGAGCAGCTGCTGTGGAGTCCAGCTTTGGGAAGAGAGAACTTCTCCTTGCTGGAGCTGGGAGCCCCCATCTCCCCCAGGGTATCCCAGGGGATATATCCAGGCCTCAGGGGATATATCCAGGTCCTTGCTGTAGCGGTAGGTGCTGTGCTAACTCTGCTCTCTCTCTCAGGGCATTGCTGGAGCTGATGGCCTCCCAGGTGACAAAGGAGAGCTGGTAGGTGTCCTTTGTCCCTACATTCAGTACAGTTGACTCCTCAAATAACAAATGGGTGCAGAAAGCCATGGATCACTGTGGTCAGTCAGAATTAACCAAGATCTCCAGCCCTGCTGTGAAAAGAGGGCAACCCAAGCCTTGCACACATCACAGATTGGGGTTTAGATGTGCATTCTCTGAATGAGTCACTTTCTTATTTCCCTTTTCTTTCTGACAGGGTCCCTTTGGACCTCCTGGCCAAAAAGGAGAGGTAAGTGTCAGACACTGGGGGCTCATGCCCTGAAGGATTTAGGAGTAAGCATGACCATTGCTTAACTGTAGAATAAACTCTGTCTGGTGTCATTACCTAGAAGCAGGCTTTCCTCACAATCATGCTATAAAATGTATGAGAAAAATGGTGATTTCTGGCATTCAAAATACTGAAATCTGTTTGATAATTTTGCTGCAGCAAGGACTGCTCTTATCATGACCTATATATGCAGAAACACCCTTAGGATGTAAGAAATGGATCTGATCCTCCAGATCCATCCAGGAAACCTCAAGAAAATTTTAACAAACCCCCAGGAGATGACTTCCATTTTAAGTGGTTTTGATCTTTTTTATTCTTCACTCCAGCCAGGAAAAAGAGGAGAACTTGGTCCAAAAGGTGTCCAAGGACCGAATGGGACAGCTGGAGCACCAGGGATCCCAGGACATCCAGGACCCATGGGTCACCAGGGGGAGAGGGGTGTCCCTGGCATCACAGGCAAACCTGGACCTCCTGTAAGTACCTGCTGCTTCTGAGCACAGTCAGGGAGCCTGGGAAGTGAAAATATGCACTGTGGGGTTTTGGATGCTATCCAAAAAATAAGGTCCTGCATTTCAGCAGGCAAAAATAAGGCTAAATAAACCCCAGATTAAATATCTGGCCTAACATTAAAATTAATTGCTGCCATTTGAACAGCAGAGGAAGAAGGGAAGCTGTCACCTTTTGAGGAGGGAGAAGAACTCCCTGCTCTTCATGCAGGACCTTGTGCTGCTTCCCAAGCTCCTGGAAATGTGTTTTGTGTCCTGCAGCCTCTGCCAAGGCTGGTTATTGATAAGGAGGTTCCTACAAAGACAAATTCTTGTGTTAACTGCAGGGCAAAGAGGCCAGTGAACAACATATCAGAGAACTCTGTGGGGAAATGATAAATGGTGAGTATTACTGAGAGAAATCTGACTTTAATTACCAGATCAGTGGATCCTGAACATAAAATGGCTTCTGACATTTGTTAATTTTCTGTCTTCATATGAAAAAAATCACATTGACCTTTAGTGTAAGGAAATTATTCAGAAGGTCACCTTGTTGTATTCAGGAGGTCACTTTGCTGGGGATGTCTTTTGGTGTTCTAAAATTAGTATTTTTAAATGATTCATCATGGCAATGGTCAAAATGCACTGAAAGCAGCTTTGGCACGAGTGTTGTGTGAGACCTCCTGCCCTAACCTGTGTCATTCTGGGCTCCACCTCTCCTCAGTGCACCTCGTTTCCTTGCAGCAGGTCCTCAGGGGGTGTCCTTCTATATTCAAAGTGACTGTTTTGCATTTGGAGGTTACATCCCCTGTTTGGGATGAGGTTAAAGTTTATTTCAGGAAATTATTTAAGTGTAATTTGTTAGAATACTTGACATCCTTTAAAGTGGTTTTAGAAACAGGAATAATCAACCCTGCAGATTTATGATTAATATCTCTGCCTGTGGAGATGTAAAAACCCCAAAAAGCCGCAGGTAAGCAGGAAGGACAGATCCACTGTTCCCTCCTGCCAGGAGCAGTGGCAGGAAGCTCTGCCTAAGGAAAGGTGCAGATGTTGGAGGTGCAGAGTTTGGCTGTGTTTTTCAGAGCAAATTGCACTGCTGGCTGCTAACCTGAGGAAGCCCCTGGCTCCTGGGATGACGGGACGGCCGGGCCCCGCCGGGCCCCCGGGCCCCCCTGGCAGCACGGGCAGCGTGGGGCACCCTGGGCCTCGCGGGCCCCCTGGCTACAGAGGGCCAACAGGAGAGCTTGGCGACCCCGGACCCAGAGGCAAGTTAAAAGTGAAACAATTTTCTTCTCTTTTATGCCCACTGAAATGAACTGGTGCTGAATTCAGCACTGGGGAGAAGAGATCAGCCCTTGGTGGAGCTCTGGGTGGAGTTGTGCATCTTGGGCGGTGATGTTGGGAAGGATGAAAGTTTGACAAGGAAGTCTCACAGATATGGATGCTTAGCAGAAAGATTTTTAAATGTGGAGTCTGATGAAAGAATAGAGTTGGAAGCAAGTTTTGATATAGAAGAAAAGAATTGCTGAGCCAGTCTTACTCGATAACCAAGGAGGCAAAGGGTGTGTTAGTGAGAAGGGGTTTTTATGGCTTAGAGCAAAGGATAAACCCACCCCAAACAAGATGTTTTTACCAAGCAAGAAGATAGCACAGGCAAACAAGCCTGCTGATGTAGCAAGTAGAAAAAAAGTCTCAGAATTTTCCACTGCAAGAAAACTGAAAAACAACTTCTAGCTTAAACTGTAATGTACTAAATTTTAGTGATTGGAGAATAGTAACATGGTAATTATAGTGGTTATGATAGGCTTTAGGTAATAGTTAAGGTATTGATTGGTTCTGCTGTATTAAGATGCTCAGCAAGGAAAAGTATATAATGCATTGTAACCAAAAGAAAAGTATATAATGCATCGTAACCAAAACCAAAGGTTCTCCAGGCCTGCCTGCAGCTGGAGCTGACAGCTGTAGGCACAGCTCTGTCACCCACATCTTAGATAGAATAAGCTGCATTTTGGAGAGCTGCCTGCAGTCCTGCATGTGTCATTTAGGCTCTTACAGGGTGCCATGTAAGCAAAGATCCCTGCAGCACCCGGGGGATTCATTTGTAGCTCCTCCTGTTCTCTCCCCTTGGGAGCTGTTGGTGGCTCCAGCTGCAGAGCACAGCTCACTGTGGGAATTGTGTTTGTCATTGAAGGTGACCCTGGTGAAAAGGGAGACAAGGGACCTGTGGGCCAAGGGATCGATGGGCCTGATGGTGACCAAGGGCTGCAGGGTAAGTATGGGGAAGAAATACTACTACTACTACTACTACTACTACTACTACTACTACTACTACTACTACTAATAATAATAATAATTAATTAATTAATTAATTAATATAATTGAATGCTGCATGGCTGAAGTGAAGGCTGAGGAGGGACAGCTCTGCATGCTGATGGCAATAGATTATCATCATTCATTTAAAGATGTGACAACTCTGAGGCTCTCCAGATTAAGGGAAAGGATGGTGCCTGCTTCCTGGTGATTCTTTTATTAAAATACTCAAGATTAATTTATGCAAATTAATTAATATCTATTGAAAACTTGGAAGGATATTCTTTATTTTGCTCACCTGTTAAAGCAACTTTTCTAACTGGGATTACATCTGTACATTCAATAAACTGCAGGCACCAAAAGCAGGCTCTCCCTTCACAGTATTTCATAAAGCCAAAATATTTACAACCATGTTATTTTAAATTCTTCCACAAAATCTATACTATAAAATTTTATAATATTTATACCCTGTTGTCTCAGAATCTTCCATAAAATAATTAATCCATGTTAATAAACTGTGAGCTCACACAGCCAAAACATCCCTTGACCAAATTAGGGATAAAAAAATCCAAAGCATATACTCCAGATTCAGGGTAAATTTATTGAAAACACCTTGTACTCAACAGGCCATAACAAGTGTGATGTACAGACACTCAAAGTATATTAAGATCTCTAAAATCAACACATATATACAGATATTAAAAAAGAAAAGATGGAAATATTTCATGTATCTTTCCCCTCTCTTGTTTAGGACCACCTGGTGTGCCTGGAATTACTAAAAACGGCCGTGATGGTGCTCAGGGTGAACCGGGGCTGCCAGGGGATCCTGGGACTCCTGGCACTGTTGGGGCTCAGGGAACTCCAGGAATTTGTGACACGTCGGCTTGCATGGGAGCTGTTGCAGCATCAACTTCCAAAAAATCATAAACCAACAGTACAAGAAGTGAAGAAGTGACTGAATATTTAAATAAACAGTGCATTGTAAGAAAACAGAATCCTTCTAGTGCTAAAAGGACAGATGCTCCTTCTATTCTATTAAGTGGAGACTTTGACACAGTTCTATGAAAAAGAAAGCATCAGATGAAAACTTTAATTAAAGATGCTTTATGACTATCTTTTCCTCCCCCCAATTATTTCCCAGAATTTTTACTGCTAAACAACCTCACCTTTCCTTCCTCCCTTTGCTCAAGAGACCTGCAAGAGGAAGCATTGCTCCTTTTTACCATCACCCCCCCTGTACTAAGAAAGTTTGAGCCTTTTCCATTGAATTCCTTGGTGCTGCTCCCACTGACTTCAGTCCTGCAGGTTTGTGCTCTCAGACACGCTGTTAAGACACTCAGGCACCGAGCTGCCTCTTCCATCAGTGGAAATCAGGCATTTCAATATCCTGTATTTTAACATCTGAACCTTCTGGCCTAAGGAATGACCATTGCTTAAGTCTGTGCTGCCAGCTAGAAATTTTCAGATTGCACCTCAAATATTTTGGCAAGACTAGTAAACAGTAATCCTCTTGCAAGCAAATTCTGCAAAAGGAGCAATGTAAATATTTTAATTTCCAGGGAAGAATTTTTGCATATTTCCATATGATAACGAAGGAAATGAAGTAACAGCATTTTCATGACCTCTACTTCAGCTATTTGCACAGTAATTGTGATGGAACCCCACCTAAGAAAGGATGCTCTTTTAAAGTCCAGCCAAAACCACCTGTATGAACTGTTGTAAAAATAAAAGGAGATTTTTTTTAACCTTTTCTTTTTGATGTTGTAAGTGTCATTATACAAATCAAATTAACTTGGCTAAACTCCATTTTCCAGAGCTAGGTTTTACTAGTATTGTTTGGACATAAATTGCTGCAAAATTGTTCTTATCCGTGATTTAAACCAGTATTAATTTTGGTAGAACTTTTTATACTTTAAAACTTGCTAGCATCATCTATTTAAAAAAATTAATAAAGCCACTCTCAGCTCACACACAGTTCTATTTCTGTCCTATATGCCAAAGCCTATGAATGAAGCATCATATTTCTCTTTAAATATAAAAATAGTTTGTGCATTTAAATATCTACTGTGTAAAATATTCCACTTTTGGTCTAAAGTAACAACACAAGAACCTACTGGACAGTTGTGTGGCAGACATTAAAAATAGGACTGAATTTAAAAATGCCAACACCATTGCACTACTCTTTGGAGCTAATTATGTTAAATATGTATGCAAATGCAAAATTCATAATACATACAGTTTAGAAACTATGCACTTGTTCAAATAACCAATACAATATTTACATTTTAAATGGAAAAATGGGCATTATAATATGGTAACTTCAGTTTCTTTATACACTGGAAGAATGAGTTTTACATCTAGCCATTAAAATAACAGGAAGATAGAAGTTCTACAACTCTTCCAATCTGTACTGCATCATCTTTGAAAAATAAAATAAAAGCAAAAAATTAAATGAGACCCCAAAGCAGGATGACAAGCAAATTTTGTATAACTAAAGGGTTAAAATAATTAAGTTATGACATTTTCTTGTAGCTTCTGGTCCCAAAGCCCCTTGAACAGGGCAGATTCCCATTGCTGGTAGTTACCTTCCATTTCCATTTGCAATAGAGAACGTTTCCTTTAAATTCTATTTATATATATTTACAAGTTACACTTTCAAATTCCTATTCAGCATGTAAATGGAAAGAATGAAACACAGTTTGCACTACTGTCACACAATTCAGGGTGGGCAGCTCAGGCTATTTGGTCTCCATAGCTGTGCGGTTTTCCTGTGCTGGACACATTACACACGAGTCTGGTCTTCCAATTTTTAGTCTCCTGCCTGTTTTACCACAGAACACAGTCTCAAATTCCTAAAAAAAAATTAAAATACAAAAGATAAATGTTATATTTAATACAGATGTTTACTTGAGATGGATGCTTTTGTTTCATTTGTGCCTTCAATAGGAAGGAGGAGGGGCCATATCCATATCTAGACCAGAAGGTTTTCCAATATACATCCTCCTAAAATTCTTAGCAGGGCTAGAATTACCCTGGAGCTGCTACTACTGCTGAGGAGAACAAGAGTTGCTTTTAAGGCATGCAATCCTTTAACTCTGCTCACCCACTCAACACAGTGTGGGCATTAGCTATGATCCCCCTCCCTGAACAAACTAGAAGCCTGTGAAAGAGGTAGAAAACAGAGAAAATGAAGGAGGGGAGGAATAATTGAAGATGACCTTAATTTCATATTGTTGTCCAAATAGGATCATGCTCAGGAATTGTGTAACTAAAAAATTAATTTAAAAAATCTAATTTGAAAACACTGACTGAGGACAGCCTGTAATTTCTTACTAGTGACTCAAACAGCTGAAAGAAATAAAAAAAAAAAATTTAAAGGAAGGTTCAAGAATATATTGAGTCCTTCACAAACAGCATCAAGCAGAAGCTTTGCATCTCAGTTCTACATTATGACAGCTTTAAAACATTTTAATCATTTTAATCAAGACCAAAAACAAAATGAGATTTCAAACCTGCTTCAGGGAGTCGCCGTGCCTTTCCTGAATGTACTTGAGGAATGCAGTTGTCCACTGCAAAGTTGTTGCCTTGTCAGTGTCGATGGTGCAGAAGGGAACGAGGAGATTGAGCTCATCACAACAAACCCGGATCCTGCGCCTGCAGGCAAACACCCAAGGTTATCCACCACGGGCCAGAGGGAAGGGGAAATACAGAGAACAGGAAGACTACTCACATTAACCAGCAACAGACTTTGGGGACTGCTTTGTGTTTGCTACAAGCTTTGTGTATTAGATTTGTTACACACAAGTCACCTTATCTTTACAGAATGGGTGAAGTGTTTTGAAATCTCTTTTTGTTTGTTTACAGAGTGAAAACACAAAGACAACCACAATGAAACAGAGATTTTTTTTTCCCTCTAACAAACACCAAGCCCTCACCTCCTGCACTGCTATTTCTTGGAGCTAACACAAAATATGACAAGTTTCCATTTCCTCTGGATAATCAGAGTACAGCAGTAGCAGTATTTTAGGCTTCAGGAGGTGTTTCATGGCCCCTGCTCCCAGAATTACCTCCTGTCTCTCTCCAGGCGGTTGTGCCTCTCCCTCCTCTGAGCACTTCCATCCTGGGAACCACTCTGCACCTGCACACTGGAGCTGGGCTGTGCTGACTGCCAGGGGCCCTGGGCAGCTGCAGTGCTCTGGTTGTTGTCCCGGGCGTTCCGAATCTCACCGAGAGGTTTGCGATCCATGCTTGCATCCAACAGATTTATTCGGCTGCAACTTCTGTTTATGGCTTGCTTGCATAAGGTGTCTTGTTGGAAAATAAAAATGAAAAGAATGACCTATTTGTTACTCTCCCATTAACCTGAAAATACTGATCATGGAAAGTTCTTTTGGTGCTTTATTTATGTAGAATAATCTTTGAACTTTTACTGCCAGCCCACATGGATTCTTCCAGCAAGACATGTCCTGCAGAAGACCTAAGGCACTGCTTGCTATTCCAAAATCCACACAGCTTCTATTTTCTCAGAGAGCCCACTGAGATTGTGCCTGCCCTTGGTGAGCACTTGAGGCAGCCCTTAAAATGCTCTTCAGTTTGATACTGACTGGGTCTGCTGGATGAGCTTTGGGGTCAAAGAATGTACCCCTGTGCCACGGGGTTTGGTGGTGTTTGTCCAAAGGCTGGACTCAGTGATCTTGGAGGTCTTTTCCAACCTTAATGATTCTATGATTCTAAAGAAACCAGCTGCTGACCCAAGGCCCAGATTTTCAAAGGTACTTTGTAACCTCAAGTCTCCTCATTTCAACCAAGAAGTGCTAAACAATTTTGAAAGTACAGCTAAACTTATAGATGTTGAACCTCCTTGGAGAAATCTAGCCCCATGTTGCCTGTAGAGCATTTTTGCCACAAAAACCTCACCTCCCACATTCACCAAAATCATATTAATTCCAGAAAAGAATTCAGAAAAAAAAAATTACATTTGAAGACCAAGAGAAAACTAAGTGAAAAGAAGATAAATGCTTTACCTCCAACTTTAATCCAAACTTCCTCAGGCAAAGCTTTATTTATAGCACCTACTGTCTGTTTCGTGGATTCAACTTCCTGATAGAGAAAAGGGAATGTTTTGGGTATCCCAAGGTCTTGATGTTTGGCAGCTTCCAAAATAGTGCAAGATGTTCCACAGGTCTGTGAAAACAAAAGGAAACACTTACAGAACTATATACATTAAAACAAAAGAGACTATTGTGATATCTTTCTGTTAGCTTCTTAAATTACTTCTTCAGGCAGAACAAATCCCAAATACACACAGCCGTGGGGTTTTGACAGTGGTGAATTTTGGGGATACCTCTGACATTTCTCAGTGCCACGCTATTACTTTTGCTTCAGAGGTTACTGCAAGTTGTGGAGAGGGAAATATCTTTGTCACCAAAATGAATTAAAAAGAAAGGAACTACAGAAAATGGTCTCTTTGTTGTCTTGCACAGATGAAAAACTGATAAACTCTAAGAAAAAAAGAGATCTGATGGCCTACTGCTCATTACTGGGATACAAGTAATTACAAATGTCACAAAAGTGACTGGTTTGAGTTAAAGATTAATAAATAAATTGCATTACAGATCATTCTGATCATCCCTATTCAAACCCAGCCACACTCTATCACAAACCTTCAGAATTGTACCACACCCAGGAAGTTAACACTATCAGCATTGGAACACGCAGAGGAGAGTTACCTGTGCTTGGGAAGGGTTAGCACTTCCAGCAGCAGAACATGCATTCATGGTAAAGAACGGGTAAGTGAATGGTAAGGAATGTGTGGCAGGTGCAGCCTTATTTTTCCCTAGTGCAGCACACCTGTTCCCTTGCTGGTGAAGAGGAACACCCACCACTTCTGAGGGCTGGCGGATCAATGTCACTAAACTTCAGACAAAAACAAACAAACAGAAAACATACCAGGCTGACTGCTTGGAAATGAGTGCAGAAATAAAGTACAGCTACAAATATTCTAGAAACTATCACCAAGAAACCACTTTCATTTACTGTAAACAGAAATCACTGTTATTGCTATATTGCCCACTTCAGGGGCCAAATAAAAGAAAAGAAAAATCAGCCAAGGAGGTATTTTATTCTGTGCAATAACAAGGTGCTTCATGCCTCAATAAAACATTTTGTCAGCACATTAAGATAGGTACAGGGCTAGGTTGTAAAACAATAGTTTTGCTCCAGTTTTCCCCATAGTCAGGCCTCCACATTATAACCCCAATCTATCACCACCATTATTATTTTTTTATTATTATTATCAAAAATCTACTTTGCTTTTAGCAAGCTGCATATTAAAATCAGGTCATGTTCTCTCACCTTTATTTACAGTACATGTTATCAAGAATAAAGTCATAAAGTAATTAATTTTGGAACTCCATGCTGTACCATTAATGCAATAAACAGAGGGGCCTAAGCTGAGCTCAGTGGAGTCGCAGCCACGTTTGATGGCACAGTTTAACAAAGCCCAACCCATCTTTGTCATATATTAAAACAAGCACTATTCACAGGTTTCACTTAGCAAATCACTTTTGAACTACATGATACATAGTTTAACAACATAAACTAAAAGTAATTGCAACACACTTGTTAAGAGTTACTCCAGATTCTTGGGGTTCTTGACATCTGGGGTTTTCTGTCGGGCTGCTGTTGAATCTGTCTTCCAACCGAGCTCTGACTGCAGGTTTAGATCTAACCTCTGGTGCCAGTGCCGAATTTTCAACAAATATGTTTTCCTTATTCTCCCCCAAGAAATTTTCACCCTGTTTAGCTTTTGCTACACTGCATCCCGAGGCTTCTACAGAGCTACTACTGTTGGGCGCTTTCTCTCTCTGGTTCCCAGGGAGGTTGGACTCGCTAAGTAACATCATCCTGAGCTCCTGGAGGTCAGCGTAGCCCAGGTGCGGGTTAGAACTCGGCCAGTAGCTGTCACAAGGCAACCCTGACTGACAGGTCACTGGGCAGACCGACTGGTTCCCAGAGCTGTTGGATGAGCCCCCGTCCTGACTGGTGCTGGGGGAGGGCTGCTGCAGAGGGGGGTCTGCAGAGGGGCCAGGCGAGGAGAAAGCGCTGAGCCTGGCTTCCACTTCACCTTCGCTACTCTGCGCCTCCGTGTGCGAGCAAAGTATGTGCTGCAGCTGGGTGTACTCAATGTCCATCATCTCCACCAGGCTGGCCTCGGGGGTGGCGAAGCCAAGGTTTTGCTCACCAAAGGAACTGTCACTTGAGCCTCCAGGTCCGACAGCAACGGGAGCGGGGTCAGGAACACTAGCTGGGCTCTGAGGAATGGTCTGAGGCTCCTCGGGGGCTGATCCTGACATGGCTACAGCAAACCTAATCAGTTACCAATGTCCCTTTCAACAGAAAACCATAAAACCTTCAACAATTGTCAGTACTATCCATTAAAAAAACCCAAAGGCAGAAAAAATTGCACTTAACACTGATTGGCGAGGTAACAGAGTGGGGACCAAGCTGCCGCTGGCGGGGTACCTGACACCCTGACCATGTCTCCCCCCCCGGGTGAGACCCTCCCTCCCCCTCCAGCACCGCTGCTCACGACAAACGGCCTTCACCTGTCCCCGCCCCGGCCTCGGCGGGGAGGCTGCGGGCACTCTGCGGCCTGGCACCCCCTGAGACAGCGCCCGGACGGCGGCGGGGCAGCCCGGGCGGGCGGGAGCGGGGCCCCCGCGGCCGGGGGGAGCCGTGGGGAGCCGGGGCGGGCAGGGCCGGGCGGGGCCGGGCGGGGCGGGGGCGGGAGGGGACGCGCGGGCCCTCAGCCCGGCCGAGCGCTGCCCGAGCGCGCCGCGCGCCGCCGCCAACGGCTGCGCGTAACCGCCGCCCGCGCGCGGGGCCGCGCGCGCCACGCCCCGCCCCTGAGGCGGACCGGCCCCGCCCCCGCCCGCCCCCTCAGGGCTGAAACTGACCCGGAGCGCAGCCCGGCGGTAATAATATGGGGGCAGCGGTGTTGTGAGGAGATAAGGGAAAAGAATGTGAGGTGTAGTGTGTGTTTACAGACGTTTTCTAGTTCTGGACACACTGCTTTAGCTGATTTGCGGTGCTTGGCTGGGTACACGTTGTTATGCTAAATTTTAAATAATTAAACCTATTGGCTGTTTTACCTACGGCCAAACTCTGTTACTTGGCTTTGTCGCTAACGGAAAGCTCACAGAGAGCAACGGCCGGGGCTCGGCTGCGCTGAGGGAACTGCCCCACCTGCACCAACAGCATCACCAGCGGCACGGCGCAGGCAGACTTGTGCAAAAAGGAAAAGGCAACAAAACCAGCTGGGTTAACGGGAAAAACCAGCTGGATCGACGGGACAAACCAGCTGGATTAACGGGAATCGCTTGTCATTCCACACGAGGGGCCTTGAGGCCGCCCCAGCCCCGCAGGGAGACCCCGAGCGGGGCAGTGAAGGTTCCCCGGCCCATCCCGTCCCGGGGTCCCGATGGGAAAAGTGAGAGGGAAAAAAAGTCCCAAGGCAGTGTGCACTGACATTTCCCTGAAATGCAGCCACAGTCCGACCGTCTCACTCGTGACTTCCCTCTAGACGCAAATCCAGGAACTTTAAAAGCAGTTTTGTGCACACTGAACTCAATATACACTTTCCTACTTGTCTAATCCTCTTCCACACTCCCCTTTTACAATACTCACAGTTGGAGTAGTACAGCCTTTTGTAGAAATAATATTTCTGCTTATATTGTTCTAGACTTTGCAGGGGGGTTTGCAAAGAAAAAGATTTATCAAAATACTCTTTGTAATGTTAGCTTAGTACAAACATAGACAAAAGCTCAAAATAGTGAGTTCTTTCATGTTAATCAAAAGTTTGGGCAAAGCCAGAGAATTGTTTTTCTCTTTCTTGCAATGCAGGACAATCATTCAGTGCCATTTTTAGTCTCTGTAAATTGAGTTAAATTGTTATGTGGGTTTCAGCCTGGTTTTTACCACCTGCTGTAGTGGAGGATACAGGAACCCTGCTGCAAAATCCAGCTCCAGCTGATTGTTAGCTACATAAAGCTGTGGCTTAACAAAGTCACTGGAGCCTATGCTGTTGATTTTTTTTCCACTTGATCTCTGTGAGGATGGATTTACCAATCCTAAAGCATAAACAGATCCCCCAGACTACTAAAGGAGAATCTCCTAAAAGATGAAAAGCCACACACCTATTTCATAAGAATGTAAAGCCAAGAAAATCATAAATGGTGTGACCTGAATTAATACTTTTTCTTTTCTTCAGATTTTTTGATGTAAAAATCTTTAAATTCCAAGCATTCTGATTAAAATGTAAAAAAACCCCTTCAAAATACAGGGGATCCCTTAGAGAAAGAATCAATCATGAGCACAGATTTTTACTATTTTTAGAGGGCCCACAATCAAACATTGCTGTGATATCCTGCAAAATGTCTGTCATTAAACTACAAGGAAACAAAACCCCTGTGCCATCAGTCTCTTGTGGTTTGTTGAGAAATAGCAAAATGTAGAAAATAATGTACACATACACATTTAAGAAATGGACAACAGCTCTCTGTAGGTGTTTATTCTACTTACAGTAACAAAAACCTGTGAAGTCCCATATTTTAATGTACAGTGATATATTTTGCCATATAAAATACAATTTACAGAAATTTCTATCAAGTAAACCTAAACAAACACACATTTTGCATACTTTTATGTATGTCTTTAAATTAGAAACATCTCATTAAGAAAAAAAATCTTACACCGTAGTTGATGTTTGCATTTAATACGATTTCTTTGCATGTTACCGTTTTCCCTCGGGTTCAGGACACAGATGATCATTTCAGCCCCCAAATCCTGGATGTACAAGGACCTCAAGGATGCACAATGTGACAGTGGTGACACATATGCTACCTGTAATTTAGTCCTCAAGATGCAAAATGTTTACAGGAATCTGATTTTATATTTCCAAATCTATCTTAGCAAAATACCAAAATATTTACCCAGCGGTCAGTTTACACATTCAAATAAACTAGTGGGGTTTTATTTCACACTTTAGAATTACGTGTTTGAGGACTACATGGGAAGTAGCAATGTGATGTATTTCACCATGAAAAATGTCCCTCTTCAATCACAACATGATGTACCACCATAATTTAAATTTTAATGCAGCTGTGCCTTTTTCAGTGGAGAGTTTTATATACACTGCCAGCCTAAGTAGGGCCTAACAAAAGAACAGTATCATTTATTTTTTTAAGAGCCCTTTTAGAATGAAAGAGCACTTCTGTAATGAAAAGTTCAATCAAATTGGGACATTTCTTAAATATGTGGAAAAATTCTGCAAAGCCTAAACAAAACCAAAAAATGCTCCACTAAATCAGTTCAATTGAAGTAACAGATTTAGTGGCCTATTTAACCAAATGCTCTCTCTTCTTTTGGTTTACCACTTTTCAAAATAAATGTCTGATGTTTTTATAAGTTTTGCTGGTTATAAAGGTGCTACTCTTGTATTTTCTTTAATGACAGATTTGTAAACATGGGATATTTAAAACCTCATGAAAAATAACTAAGTATGACTTGTTTCTTTGCTGTACACTTAACAGATGGATTCCAGACCCAAAATACATGTATATAAAAGGAAGATAGTGCACTTTAAGCTTATAACATTCCATTTTCAAATCCTCCATCAGTCACAAGTAATTATTAACACTGTTCTTTTGCAGCTTTTTCCTAAACACATGACCCTTCCATTGTAAAAGAAACATGACACCAACATTTTTAGTGTGTGCTGTAGGAACAATTTTGACACCAAAATACCACGTAACTGAGATGTAAAGATATGGCTCCTCAGGTCTGGATTAAATTCTCCTATAAAATTACAATTCAAGTTACTGGAAAACATAACTTTATAATCTTAAAAAGCAATATGCTCTTCTTAGACTTTTTCCATTTCTGTACTGTAAATGGAAACTTTAAGATAAAGATGCAAGTAGAAAAAACAAAATTTCAGTACAGTTAACGTTGTGAATCTTTATAAGAAAAACATTATGCACAAAATGCAGCAAGTGAAAGTCCAATATGTTCTTGCTTTTCATCTATCTGATTATTTTCATTCACAGTTGTTCAAAAATTGCTTGTCAGAACATTGGGTAAGGCTAGTTTTACAACAGAATTTTTTAAAAGGTGAGAATATGTACAGTATTTACAGATGTGCAGTCCTTGCTGTGTTGCCAAAGTGTATTATTTGCGGGAAGTATCAGTCACAGCTCTATGACTGGTTGCTGGAAGATGAAGCTTCAGTTTCCACTGGTTTCTGAGTTTCCTTCGGTGTTTCTGGCTTTGTCTCTTTACCAGTTTCCTTACTCTTACTCCTATCCTTGCGATCTTTCCCTCTTTCCCTGTCGCGATCTCGATCTCTGTCCCGATCCCTTTCCTTTTCCCGGCTCCGATCCCGGTCCCTGTCTTTCTCTCTGTCGCGATCCCTGTCTCTGCTTCTCGATCGCTCTCTATCACGTCTTCGATAAGAGTCCCTATCTCTGTTTCTTGTCCTATCTCGGTCTCTGCTTCTTTCCCAGTCCTTACCCCGCTCTGAATCCTTGTCTCTATCTTTGTTTTGGCTCCTATCTCTATTTTTATCCCATTCCTTCTCTCTGTGTCTCTCCCAGTCCCTGTCTCTGTTCCAGTTTCTGCCACGGTCTCTTTCCCAAGGTCTGCCGTGTTCTCGATCCCTTCGTCTTTCCTCAAAGCCTCTACCTTGGCGATTATCTCCTTGTTGAAGCTCTTGCTGATCCAAACCCTTATCTTTATTTCCCCCCTCATATCTCTCTCTCTGTCTGCCCTCAAATGTCTGGCCTCTATAGTCAGGATTTTTGCCTTCTCGGAAGTCAGACGTGGGCCACTGTCCTTCCGACTCAGGTCCTTGTCCAGACATATTGGAAAGAGATGCAGATGGTCCACCTTCCTCCCACATCTCTTTTCTGTGAGACGGATGGCTTGGAAGGTCCAGGAGTGGTCTTGGGGGTGGTTTCATACCTTGTGGTGACTGACCCTGGTAATGAAATCTAGAAGGAGGTTCATCTTCTTCTGGAAACATTGGAGGTGTGCCTCCTCTTGGTCCTCCAAACTGATGTGGTCCTGGACCTCTCTGGTTGGAAAATCTGGGTGGTGGGCTCCCTCTCCGTTCTTCATATGGCTGTGGCAAAAGTCCCCTTGGACCAGGCATATGATTTGGAGCTGGACCTCTCTGCCCTTCAAATTGATTTGGGTGAGGTCCCCTTGGTCCCCCAAAATGACCTGGGGCTGGACCTCTTGGCCCTCCAAACTGAGGGCCTCCTCTCTGTCCTTTAAACTGACCTGGAGGGGGTCGTCTTTGACCTCCATAAGGAAAGGGCGAAGGTCCTCTGTTTCCCATATACTGGGGGGAATCTGGTCCTTCAAACTGTCCTGGAGGCCCCATCATTTCATCATATTGGGAATCTGAGAATTCCATTTGTTCCA